AAGTATGAGGGGAGATGTTGCATTGTGGTAAATTGTGGTCAATGTCATGTGACAAAGTGTATGTGAACTGCTGTATGGAAAGTGAATTTGCTCTGTAAATTTTCACCCAAATCACAATAAAAAAAAAATGGAAATTAAAAATTTTTAAACTGTAGACAGAAAGGAAGTAAACATACCCAATAAACTAGCATTGTTGTAAATGAACATTAAATTAATGTCAAAGTGATTGAGGCAAAAGGGAAACTACAAGGAATTAGGTAGGCATTTTTGATAAAATGAAACAAATCAATTTATCAGTAGAGAGAAATTTTTTCCTTGAACTGGATTCTAAAAGGAATTTAACATGTGGATCCTGTACAATGGTTATTAAACAATACACTGGACAATGTCATTAACAATAGTTTTTCAGAAAATAAAGAGATGTTCTTTATATAGCCAGTTTCTAGCTGGAATGAAAGTTCAAGGTGCCTAACATTTGATGGAGGATATCTTCAGGGGACTAAGATAATGAGGACAGATATGGTGCTTTCTGCTGATCTAAACTAATAAATGGACAAAGCTTAGAACATCAAAAAATTTTTGGACCAGATAACATGGAGAGTTTCAAAAGAGTAATAGTTAAGCTGCCCTATTTTAAGAATATCAACAAAAACTATTTTATATGTACTCAAGGAATTTTGATGCTACTTGATAACTTGAAGAAGTGATCAAAAGTTTTATTGATTTTTAAAATTTCAAAGATTCAGCCTTTACATTTCCTTGACTATAGACATTGTAGTATAGTAGCTGTTGAATTGATGATTCATTAAGGATGAAGGAAAATAGTATCAAGTTGGTCTTTCATTATTGTAATAATGGTGCCCTAATCTATCTCAATTTCAGGACCAGAGACAAGTACAGTGTTATACCAGGCTGAAAAACAGCTCTTGTTGAGTCCATCTAACTCATGGTGACCCCATGAGTGTCAGAGTAGACCTGTGCTTCATAGAGTTTTTAATGGCCATGATCTTGGGGAAGTAAATTGCCAAGTCTTTCTTCTAAAGTGCCTCTGGTGGATTTGAAACCCCAGTAGATGCTTACTAAATCTATGCTGAATGAATAAATGAAACACTTACCCAAGTCCTGGCCATGGGCCCGTTCATTGCCTTGTACATAGAGCAAAGAGTACCCATGGTAAAGAATTTTGGTCCCAGGAGGACACTGTGGGTCATCTACTGTTTGACTGTGCCTGGTCACAAGGAAGCCATGATCAACAGATGGGGTGCCTGGGGGGCCCATGGATCCTGGTGGTCCATCAGGGCCTGGTGGACCAGGAAATCCTCTTGGACCTAAAAGACAGAAGACAAATTGATTGCCCTATTTACAGGCAGATTCCTCCCAAAAAATTTCAAAATCTCTGTGTCAAAAGAGTTTTTAATATTTTGTGTTTCTACAAAGTATCTTACCTTTCCACATTACCTTAAAAATACTAGTAAAATGCAAAACTAATTAATAATTCAACAACCCACCTCCTTCATGGTGCTTTATCTTTTCCTTTTCACAAACCATCTCGAGATATTTTTATAAGCACAGTACTTGGTGCATAATCAATAGTCAATAAAAGTTAGCTTCTACCCTGAATCTGTGCATGTCATTCATATAGCATTTTGAAGCACCTCTAAGGGAGGATTATTATAAAAATATTAAAACAACCTCATTTTAAGGTGGTTTCCCCTCCATGATCAGCTTCAAAGCCTGTATATGGAAGTATAGGAGTAAGGAAGTTCCTGTGTAATTGGTCTGCTGGGTTGTGAGCCTTATTCAGTTAGTTGATGTCCCTGGTTCCTGTGTCAAATTCAGGATGATTTTATATCTTCACCTTAAGCACTGGAGTCATTATGGAACATTTAAATGAGTTCTTGCTTTCTAAGAAAGGCAGATCAAGTTTATCCAATGTTAAAGTGACCTTTTGGTCAACTCTGGAATGATTATTTTTCAGTTCTCCTTTCCCTTGTCTGTTACTGTAATGGAATTTTTATAGCTACAGCCTGCTTCCCTCATAGGAAACTTCACAAGGCCATCACAGTTGGCCTTCTCTCAACAACATTTAAAAAAAAAAAAAATGAATGCTTTGATCAGCTTCTGTTTCTCTACTAGAAAAAAATGACAACCCTTTAGCTTATATATGACTAGTTCTTCTAAGAAACAGACCTCTTTGGAAATCTTTCAAGTAACATTTTCAACTTCATTTTATAGGTTTTCACAAGCCCAGGCCTATTGCTTCTAACAAAAAAATAAAGTGTAATTAGGTTGAAGGATACACCACCTACCTGGAGGACCAAAAGGCCCCGTCTCTCCTTTCTGGCCAGGGGCACCATCAAACCCTGGAATACCTGGAGGTCCAGGCAATCCCTCCAATCCTGTCACACCTAATGCAAAGGAAAAAGAATTCATGATCCAATGCTGGATGGCATCAGAATGTATCATTTTCCTGTCTTTTGAAATGTCTTAATTTTTCACAAAGGAAAGCATAAGGTCTTTGTGTGCAGATGAGAACATTTTCCTGGAAATCCATAAATTGCTTCTAGAGTAGTACCTAAGGCATTTGACTGCTAACCAGAAGGCTGGAGTTTCAAGCCCACCAGCCACTCCTTGGAAGAAAGACTGTGTAGTCTACTTCCATAGTGATACTGCCTCAGGGTCACCATGAGTCAAATTGACTCAATGGCAGTGAGTTTGTTTGTTTGTTTTTTGCTCTAGATTTTCCTACACACACACACACACACACACACACACAAACACATATTGTTCAAAGGACCTAAAAACCCAGAACAAAATGTGTATATATATATACACATTTTGTTCTGGGTTTTTTAGGTCCTTTGAACAAAATTTAAGGTAGAAAGAAACACTCAAATATGTGTTTCTGTAAAACTTGATTTTAGATACAAGAATTAAGGGGAAGTCCCACTCACTACCCACCCCCATGACCACTCTACATATCACCATATTCCTACCTTGCTGTCCTTTAGGCCCTGGAGGTCCCTGCAATCCCTTCAGACCTGCTGGACCCTCAGGGCCAGGAAGCCCTGGCTCCCCTTTGATGACATGGTAAGGACCTGGGGGACCAGGGGGGCCTGGAAGACCTGTGGGAATCAGAGAACAACTTATCAATTTCCGTGTACCTATGTTAGAACAGAAACTGCGTCAGAATGAGAGTCCAATATGAAACACAATCCAAATGGAATGATTTTCTCAAAAGTAAAATCTTTATCAGAAGCACAAGAAATCAGAACCTTGCAAAATATGTATTTAATCTGCACACCATTAGTACTTAACCTAAATCCTGAACTCTTGGTGCTGGAAAAGACTTTGGAATCATCAATTCTGGAGTCCCTCATAGACGGTCATCAGCCTTCTTGTGAACACGCCCAGACATGTGAAGCTCATTCCTTTTCGAGGCAACCCATTTCTGATTTGGATAGTTAACAATACTTGCAATTGGAAAGTTTTTCTTTTATTTGTCTGAAATTGGCCTTACTGAATATTATAACCACTGGTCTTAATTTTTTTAATGATGAGTAAATTTAATCCTTTTTCTATTTGAGATAGTTTATGAAAGATAATGTAAAGTTTTCAGAGGCTCACGAGCTCTGCCTCAGCTTCCTCCACTTTAGCTGAACACCCTTGGCTCTCACTCCTTCCATACACAATATTTCCTCTGTTCCTTTTCTTTCTTAACATTCTAATTCTGGGTGCATTCTGGTTGGACATTCTCTCTTAAAATACAGTTTTGAAAATTAACACAGCTCTAGAAACCAGTATAACTGCATAAATACTAAAACTATTTCCTTCCAAGATTATATACCCTTTTTCAGAGCCACTTCACACTGTTGGTTCCTAGTGGTGGAACAGTCAACTATGACTCTTTCCTTTGGAGAATGGCCAGGCTTTATTTACTCTACACAGAGGGTTAACCTTTTTCCTATTATAAAATCAAGTGGTTGAGTTCAGTCTAATTTTATAGCCTGTCATTTTTTTTTTTTTTTTAAATCTCGAATCTAGAACTTTCTAGCTAATATTCTAGCCATACCCCCCCTCTCCCCTGAATTTATGTCAATCAAGGATTCAACAAATGTGACTTGTAATGTAAAGACAAGTCGCTGGTAAAAAGAATGTCAAATAGATTAGCCAAATACAACAACCCTGACATCCTACCAAAGCCTTTTAAAAATCTTTTTAATTTTCCTAATGATCTTCAAGTCATTTCAGATATGTAAAATCCAACTCCTAATTCCATGTGTTCACCGGCTTTTGTAATTTCCCAATGTCGTATCTGCCCACAAAGCAAATCCTCCTACCTTTAGATCCAGGAAAACCTTGATCTCCTTGATCTCCTTTAATTCCCTGGATGCCAGGGAGACCTTTCTGACCTAGAAAAAAAGTACAAAATTGTTTTTTACATATAATTGCAAATTATGTACCAGCATGCACATACGGTGAACACAGGTCTGATTTATCTTTGTGGAAGAAAAGTGCATTTCTAGTTAGCTGCTGTAAAACTTTAAGTGAAACTCTTGTTTTAGAACCATGAAGTCCTATTTTTGCAAACACATAATGAAACTGTAACATGACTGCAACCAGTAGGGGGCACATGACACTATTCTAGTTCACAACTGGGTTTGCATGTTTCTTCAAATCCACCATTAGACCCCTGGAGGCTGGGACTTGGTTTTATTCATCTTTCATATGCATCTGACTCACCAATAAAAATCAGGGCCTGGAAACTAGTAGGTACCCAGTAAATGTTGCTTAATGAATTAATAAATGATCCGAATCCATGATTTCTTACTGTGATCTAAATGTGGTAGCTATTGGCTCTTAACAAGAAAACCAGAAAGTCTTTATACAGCCATTCATAAGCTTATAGAAACTGGGTTGTCACACAGAAATGGCATTTTTAATCTGAAAAGAACCATATCTCAAGTTCTAATTGTGCAAAGACTGTCAATATTAAAGTACCTGTGAATAGGAAGCTTTGGAGGTCAAGAAATGTTCATTCAAACAGCATCTACTTTACTTAAGTCTTACCCTGAAATCCTGGAACACCTGGAGGTCCCATATCGCCCTTTGAACCTGTGACTCCTGGAGATCCACCAATACCCTAGACAAAACAACATAAATGTCAGCTGGGAATTGCTCTGGAGACACATACAACGTCTCTCAAGTAACTTGTTAGGTTCGGGAAGCTGAGAAAGCACTTTGATGATCTGCAAAGTAGATTTGTAAACAAATGGTGTGTGTAGTTTCTTGAATTATGTAAAAAGAAACACAAATCTGCTTTGTGTGCCTAAATGAGGAACACTGGAAATAGAAATGGTTTACTTCCTCCACCATTGTCTCCTCTATTTGCCCATCTATATGGTAAATTCCTTGGGAACAGAGAGCCAGTTTTACACCACCAGTGCCTTGAACAGAGTTGGAAGTCAATAAACATTTGTTATGAAAACACATCAATCTGTGACAAAAAGTAAAGTGTAAACTAACTTATTTTGAAAACTTATCCTCAAATGCTCAAGTATAATTATTTCTCTTTAAAATTCTTCTCAGACCTTGTATGGAAAGTGATTTTTGAATATGTAAAGATAAAAAATACAAAATAAGATATTTTCTCATATAATATAGCAATATGCATAAAGTCAAAATCTTTCTTGCTGTTTCACCATAGTTGTTCCCTTTTCCAGTTGTGGATATCAACCCATAAAAAATAGTATTGTTTCTTACATAGATGTTTTCCTTATTTTAAAAAGTGTCATAACCAAAATAACTGTAACATAGTAATAATGGGCCCCAAAGATATTCACATACATTGCATTTTCACAATGTATATGTAATGTATTGTGTGAAATTACATAAGGCTTTGAGTAGAGAAATGGGTCAAAAATTATTGCTATTCCAAGTAGCCTGTTTTGCATGATTACTCATAGGCATCTCATATGTTATTGATTCATAAGTAAACAATAGCACTTATTTACTTATTTTTAGTGCTTAATAAGCTAAAAGAAGCTCTGCTGGTGCTGTGGTTAAAGCATTGGGCTGCTAACCAAAAAATTGGCAGTACAAATCCACCAGCCAGTGTGAGGGAGAAAGAGAAGGCAGTCTGCTTCAGTAAAGATTTACTGCCTTATAAACTCTATGGGGGCAGTTCTACTCTGTTCTACAAGGTCTCTAAGAGTTGCTACTGACTCAATGGCAGTGGGTTTGGTTTGAATAAGCTAAACTTAGTCATCCAGTATGTGGCCTTGAGAGAGTGCCCTGATGACTCTGAAACATGCATTTGTAAGTGATAAACTATAGGAAATAACCCATGTCACTTATAAAAACATTCCTGTCTCTTCTATATCACTACTGTACATGTGTCTACCTAAAATCCCTCCAGTTCTAATCTCCCCCAACACACTTTCTCTTCATGTATGTGTGTATGAGAGACAGAGAGAGAATGAATCTGCTGATGCATCTATGCAACCTCAACAGCGCACAACACAGACACACAATCATATATACAGCCTTGGAAACCCCACAGGATTGTTCTGTTCTGCCCTAGAGGGCATATATTCTGAGTCAGAATAAACTCAATGGGAGTGGCAGTGGTTGAGCTAAGAATCAAACCAGAGAGCCAGACCACCACTTTACCTAAGAGTGGCTGTATATTTGGGCAATTAAGGGAAGCAAAGTTAATTAAAAACAAAAATAAAAACAAACAAATAAAAACCATTTACTGGTTATTTATTACACCCTGAAACCTGTCCTTTTGAAAGCTTTTTATTGTCACTATTGGTGACATCAACTGTTAATTTACAACATTCCGGCCCTGTTGCCAATTGTAAGAGATGACTGGGCTAGTTTTACAGAATTGCTCTTTATAAAACAACTCTGATTATTACCCATTAGCTTGCTTTTCATATTCAGTTTATAAATAGATATTTTAAATTCAAGCATTGAACTATAATTTTCAGTATTACAATGTTTCCTTTTTAATAGTCCTTATAAAACTAGACTATAACAAATTTTATAATAGTTGTATATTCTGGTGCTAATAAAGATAGCTGGTTGCTGGCAAGAGAGAAGGAACAGATTTAGAGATGATTTGAGAGTGTAATACACATGCATATCCACATACACATTATAGACATAGATGCATAATTTTGTGATCAGAGAAAGTGCCTTTTCAAAAAAGGAGCCTACAAATTAGTAACTCACAGGCATGCCCTGTAATCCTGGGTCTCCCTTGGGTCCTGGAACACCAGGAGACCCTGGCCAGCCTGGACTTCCTTTGTCACCTTTTAGTCCATCAAGCCCTGGAAGCCCTGGGGGCCCCATGGGTCCCGGATGCCCTAAGGAGAGAGACAAAAGTCACACATTTGAGGTCAGAAGGTGATATTATGTTCAAATGTCACTGGGCTGTGTGTTATCATTACTGGCACTCAGCTGTCACTAATTGTACATAACAACACCATATCAAGCAGTTGAGCCCATAAGAAATCAAAGTAGGGTCTGTTGTTGTTGTTATGTGCCATCGAGTCGGCCCCGACTCATAGCGACCCCTCCTTGGGTTTCCGAGGCAGTATCACTACGGAAGTAGGATTGCCCAACCTTCCTTCTGAGGAGTGGCTAGTGGGTTTGAACTGCCAGCCGTCTGGCTTAGCAGTCAAGTGCCTTAGCCAATATGCTACCAGAGCTCCCAAAGTAGGGTCTAGAAGGCTGTATATAAAGGCAAGAACAAATGTTAATCTAACTACTACAATCTAAGTTTCCAAAATGTTCTTCTGGTTACTGAGGCTCAGGGGTACTGTGTTGCCATTACAATAATGGTCAAGAGTGGAAAAGTTTGCTAGAATGCTGCTTTTCTTTAAGTCAAACACAACAAATGGTATATGCATACCAGTCAGGAGCTCTGGTGGCACAGTGGCTAAGGCATTCAGCTCCTAACCAAAAGGTTGGTGGTTCAAACCCACAAGCTGCTCCCTGGGAGAAAGAGAAGGCAGTCTGCCTCCATAAAAGTTTACAGCCTTGGAAACCCTATGGGACCATTCTGTTCTGTCCTATGGGTCTATATGAGTTGGAATCAACTCGATAGCAGTGGCAGTACTCCAGACTGTTCCAACAATTTCCTTTCTTCCATCTCCTTAATTAGTTGTCATATATAATAATTTCCTTGACAGAATGGATATAAGGAAAGCACTGACTCAGTGGAGACCACATACAAGTGTCCCAAATGTCTACAGCAGGCTGAAGCTGCAATTTCTTCAGAAATATAAATGCTACTAACTTTGAAATTAAAAACCCTTTTGAAAAAATTAAGTATTTAAATTTCTTTTATTCTCATTAATTTTGTGAATTTTATTTCATTCCCCAGTTCTAACGTGTGTGACACCTGGTTAAAGACCCTTACCTGGCAGGCCAGGTTGTCCCTGAGGTCCTCGGTCTCCTTTGGGTCCCTCCACAGGTTGTCCTGGAGCACCAGGTATTCCTGGCTGTCCTTGTGGCCCAGGAGGACCCATGAATCCTTGCTCTCCTTTGGGTCCAGGAATTCCTGGCCTCCCAGCTAATCCTGGGAAACCCACGTCACCCTTTGAACCTAAACAATAATAACAGTTTGAGACCCATGGTGAAATTCAGGGGAAGAAGAGTAAACCACGATACACTGGGAGTCAGTGTAAAACATTTCTTATCCTCCAGTTGCCCCTCCCAGCTGGGCTTCCTGAGGCACCAAGAGGAAAAACAAACTTAAGTGTTCTTTTTCTTCCTTTTTACTAAATAAGACATGAGTTCTCCAACATGTCCTGGATTCAAGAAGTCTAAACTTAGAATAGTAAGAACCTGTAATTCTGTTTCTTAAAAGGCTTCTAGCAAAGGCATTTGGATATGTGATTAGATGAGTCTACATCCAGTTGCATTACTAAAATTAAGGGCTTGAACAAATAATATAAGTAACAACAGAGATGAATTGCAAACTCATGCTGGATGGAAGAAGACAGAAGTTTAAAAGTACATGCGTATGATTGTACTTACATAAAAATACAGAAAATGCAAGCTTATCTAGTGACAGAGAGCAGATCAATGTTGTGTGGGGATGGGGCAGGCGGGTAGGAAGAAAAGAGGAAAAGAGGGGCATGAGGACACTTTTGGGATGATGGATACACCTGCCATCTTGAATGTGGTGATGGATTCATTAGTATATACATATGTCAAAATTTATTATACTCTCTACTTTAAATACATAAACAGTTCATTTTATGTCAATTATACTCCAATAAAGTGGTTTTTAAAAATTAGAGAAAAAAGAGCTTGTAGAAAAAGAAAACACCAGGTTTAGTTTTAAACATATTACCCAAAACTTGCCAACAAAAATACCAACACTCCAAGCTTATCTCAACATTGTTAGGAAAAATGTAAAAGGGAAGGAAATAGGGTTATCACTTAAAACTGCCATAGGATCCCTCTTAATTCTCCTCTTCCTGCGATTTCACAGGGCAATGAATTAAAAACTAAACAGACCACACAGTAGTCTGTTACAGGGCAGGAGAATTCATCAACTCAATTTTCAACGACTACATGCAGTTACTTGACAAAAAGACTCAGTAGGGTGTTTTAACAGGAAACCACTCCCATCTTCCCTGTGCTGATCATCTGTGGAAGCACCCTGCATCTTTAGAGGGGCTCTGTTCAAATTTTCAGGAGTGCTGTGGGTAAGAGCAAGTTGAGGAAGTGACCCACTCCCAAGGTAGCCCATTCTGAACTCTGGGGATGCCCAGAGGTGGTCCAATATCTGCTCAATGAAAGGCTTTGGCCTGTTCTCAGAGGACCCCTGGGACCTTGGTGAAGCAGAACTTCCATATCCCATGCTCTTTCTGAGCTGACATTCTAGACCTGCTGGGTCTTTTCTGAATCCTCAAGACCTGACTGCCGTCCCTCGGTAAGTATAGTGACCCTCTGTCCACCTGGCTAATAACAGAATGTGTGATCACAGCTGTGGCTGCCTGAGGCTTCTCTTGTAATATTTTGTGGCTTATGTCTCTTATATTTCTTGAATCTGTCTCTTCTCCCTCATAAAACCCTCAGCTCTCTGGGAAAAGAAATTGCATCTTCAAGTTCCTTTGCCATTCTGAACTATGCTTGGTATTTAGCCCACTGTGGCTGCTAAAGAAATGTTTGTAAGTGTGTGTGACATAAGTTACAACCTGTCTTAACTTCACATAAGTATGACCTGATTGTCAAAGTAACAATTTTGATCTTCTGATTATTTGCTAAGCACAAACATGATGGCAATTTTCCCCTATACTGTATTTTATGAAATTAGTCCAACTAAAAGAGAATTTTTGATAATGAATGCACTGCTCACCATTATAGTCCATAAATGAGACTGTTTAACTGCACATGCCTTGACAGGCATTACCTTCTGGAACCAGCACTTATAATCTGTGTCTGGTTGCTGCTTCACTAACAGAAGCAAGTAGGCTGGGGCCTGGCCCTGTTCTGCTGGTATACCATGCAGCAGCGACTGCTTGAAAACTTTTAAAGAACACATTTAGAAAATCTTACCTTTTTCTCCTTTGGCCCCGGGAAACCCTGGGAATCCTCTTCCTGGTAGACCTGTAAGATAAGGTCAAAAAACGTTAAGAAGGAAGATAGCTCTTCTCTTAAAAAATCAATGTGCAGGTAGAGCATGGAACAATATCAAATTTCTCTATCAATGCCATATGCTATTTATAGAATATGAAGAAATGAGTTCACTACACTTTGGAAGTAAGGTTATATTCCTATAGTTGTTATATAATATCCTTGACAGGATATTTATAATTCAGTACTTTTTTCTCAGTACCTTTCAGCTCAGAACCATTACGGCATTTAGTAGAAATGATTTGTACAAATGAGTACCTATTTCCTACTACTGTCTTGACTACTAACAAAAAGGCTTTTTTCAGACAACCAACCAACTAATTGCTACTCTCACAGGAGGGAGGGGAAGCCAGGCAGAATTTGGGACAGCAGAAACTTCAGGTTTTAAACATGAATAAAGGGCTTGAAGGAAGATTAAAATGAAGGCAAGAGAGGTGTGGAGGTAGTATTCCCTTATGAATTCTTTGTACAGGTGAAGGAATATTTCTAACTTAAGTACAAGGTGCAAAAAGTGAAAAGTGGGCCTAAGAGGAGGCTCACCAATAACAATGAAACTCCTCAAGTGCTCCTCCCAAGTGATACAAACTCTCCTCCTCTCCCCAGACATTTGGTTAGCCCCTGTCCCAAATGTTGTGCTTATCACTCTCTTGCATTAGTATGAGTATTACTATATATGTGATTGTCATTGTCAGAGCTCGCAGCTGGCACTTTTGTCTGAGTTGTAGCCCTGTATCTGACAGGTACAGACTCAGGGACCAACAAGTATTCCAGAACCATTTGTCTACAGGGAAAACAACCAGGCAGGGAAAAACGTAGTTCCTTTTCTTTGTTACAGCAATTCTAAGGGAAATGGAGAGGAGAGTATTACACCTATAATCACAGTCCTCTAATCCAGCAAGTGTTTATATGTGTCTCATTCACACCCCACTGAGAGAGCTAAGGATTCCAAGGCAGGTGTTCATAAGTATTTGTGGAATAAATGCATACCCCCATTTTTCTCATTTACTCATCTAATCCTTCTCCGTATTTCCACATCAGTGTTTAAAGTGTTGAACGGCCATATATGTAAACCTTTGTACTAAGCTGTGATTGCATCTCATTGCATGTGAGTCTCTTGAGAGTTTACCATGTTTATTCAAATGAGAACTGCTTACTGAAAGGCAATGGGGAGCCTAGACATACCTGGTTCACCTTTTTCTCCTGCAGACCCTGGGATTCCATCACTCCCTGGCTCCCCTTTCTGGCCGGCTGGGCCAGTGGGGCCAGGCTTTCCGGGAAGACCTCAAAGAGAAAGGACACCTCCGTCAGTCACTGAACCTTTCATGACACCCTAGTCTCCATGTAAAAATCATGAGCTAGCCTGGCTTCCCTCAGGTCTACTCAGGCATCCCTTCAGAAAGGACTGTCCATCATGTTAGCAGCACCGCTAGTTGTTCACAAAAGCTAGTGAGAGGAGAGAGAAAATACATAGAAGTCCCTTGCCAAAAACATACAAAACTGTTTTTTGAACAAGTTGGAACTAGCTATAAAAATATTAGGAAATCTAGTGGTGGTGAGACCATAGAAAGACCACAAAAGCCCCTCTAGACTTAGCCTACTCATCAGTGAAATGGAGAGGGGACTAGCTAGCCTCTGGTCTCATCCTATAGCCAGCCATTCTGGAGCCTATGATCTGTCGTCCCTGAGAGAAACTCCTGGAGGCTTCAGATTCCCCATCTTAATGGCTGCTTATCTCCACATTGCTCATAGTCTGGTGCTTTAAAGAGGGGTCTCTACCTGCTTCTCCTTTGACTCCAGGGACACCATCCAATCCTGGGAGTCCTTTCTCGCCTTTTTCCCCTGGCAATCCAGGGCTTCCTAAAGAAGAAAACAAAACAGCAGAGTGCTCGTAAGTCTGAGCGACTTCTTTGTCTCCTTTAAATCCCATATTCAGGAGGAGGCACTGGTTCACCTACCTGGATAGCCTATGTTCCCTGGTAACCCTTTAGGGCCTGGAGACCCAGGCATGCCTGGAATCCCAGTGCTTCCTTTCTCTCCCTTCTCACCAGGGCTTCCTGGAAAACCTGCCAAACCTTGATCTCCCTGTGAGCAAAATTGAACACATTAATTTTATATTGCTCCCTGGACATGTGGCAGTAGGCACTTTCTGGATAATCATATAACTTTTGGTGGGAGACATTGTATTATAGCATTCCACTTGTAGTTCTGTAATGGAAGAATCAAAGTCCACTTCTGAAAGAGATGTAAAACTAGAAACCAAGAGTGAAATAGCCAATTGTCTTATATCTACTTGACATTTATCCCTTTCACCCTTCTTTTCCTTCTTTCTGTCTTCCAGTGATAGCTTGCTACTCTAGTTTCTCAAAAAATTTCTAAATTCTTCCTCATGGGAGGTGAAGTGTGAGTTAAGGATAAGAAAAGGCAACTATAAATTGGGGGAAAATTGCTATATGTTAGGATTCATTTAATGTGCTGAGATACTATGAAATACCTTGCAAATTATTTTCATTTAGACCACTGGGATGGAACATTTCCATGCAAGATGATAATTACCTTTTCACCAGGTCGGCCAGGAATACCAATGCCAGGTTGACCTGCTAGTCCTTTCTCTCCTTTTGTACCTTTTTCTCCAGGTAAACCGGGAACACCCTGTTGGCCTGGAAGTCCAGGCACACCTTTTTCTCCTGGTGTTCCTGTAAACACAAAGAACTGCAACTTTAATTTGTTATTAACTAGGGCTGATATTCAAGATAAAAAAAGTATCCTGACAGCCAACCAAGAAGGAGGGTAAGGAAAACACATATTCCTTCATTTATCAATCCATAAATTATCCAGGTAGACAGCAATCACCCAGATCACCCTGGAGATAAACTAAGAGACGTTTCTCCTGTCTCTTAAAGACCACCATTTTATAAAGAGAGAAGAGATGCATTAATTAATTAGAACATATTATTTCTCAACAGTATTAAAAAGAAGAAAAGGACGATTATGTTCTTAATTATATAATCAACTCTCATTGTCCACATGAATCAGAGGGATCCATAAGTCAAGGCATTCAGCGTAAGTGTATAGTTGGTTTTGTAATGTATGTTAGTTGTGCAACTTGTTTATAAATAGATGTGAACAGCAACCTAAATGGTTGTATTTCAAATAAGGTAATAATAGCACCTAAAGACATAAGAGGAGACAGGAGGATAGGTTTCTGCCTTGACTTTTCCCTATTCTGTGTGAGTCCTGCCAATCCAGGGCAGTCTAAACTCACTTTCTTCTCTCAGGTTCCTTCTGTTTCTGTTTTCTGTGCTGTCACATCAGCAAATGCGCATGGCAAAGAATTCAGGCTGAGGAGTGGAGCAGAGGAGACTAGAGGAATTCTTCTGGAGTCAAATCAAAGGGCTTTAGAGGTGTAAGTTTCTTGTGCTGGCAAAACTAAGTGGAGAACTAACTATCTCCTGTGGAGATAATAGTCAAATGCACAGGTCACTTGGAGATGATCAAAAATTGGTTGTGAAGAGCCTCTGTTTTGCGTTATTAAATTGTGACTTCTTTAGTAAGGGTCACAATGTCAAGCAAAACACCGTCCATCACTAGGCAGGAGACCATACAGAATTGAGTATGTGAATTAATGTCAAAGACATATCTTCTGGATAATGTTCTCCTCAGTGCAATGAGATCTTATTCTGCAGACTTTATCTCACCTGGCAAGCCCATTCCACCAACTGATCCTTTTGGTCCAGGAAGTCCTGGAGCACCTGGAGTTCCACTTATACCTGGGTCACCTTTAGGACCTAAAATTATGAAGAGAAAAATCCAGTGGCTTAATTTCTACAAAACGTTCTGGATAACATATTCCTTAGCATGAGCTTGCCACATTGGTCAACTTGGGTTCCATGCCATACCTGGCTGCCCAGGATGCCCTGCTTGTCCATCTTTTCCAGGCATTCCCGGAGTTCCAGGATCTCCTCTGGATCCTTTATCACCACTTGGTCCAATTTGTCCTACATAACACAGAAAAATAATGGTGATGACCCATGTCTGCTTAAAGATCAGTTGTTAGAAAATCCCAAATTGGTTTGACAGTATTTATGGAGATCAGAATTTTTTTTTGTATAAGCACATTGTCTATCTCCATTATAAAAAACTCTCCTCTAAGTTGTACATTTTCTAAAATCAAGCTTGAAGAATATTACCTTTTTCTCCTTGGTCTCCCTTCTGTCCCTTCATGCTGCCCATGTCCACTTTATCCATTGACCCAGGTTTTCCAGGGAGACCAACATCCCCTTTATCACCTTTGTAGCCAGGGTCTCCCCTGAGTCCTGAGGAGCCTGGGAAGCCCTGGTCCCCTGCAAATAAAAGAGAAAGCACTGAGACTTGGCCAAGTATTTCCAAGGTAGTTTATAAAGTATGGTGTCCTTTGTGGCTATTAGAAGTGACTGATTCAGAAGTTGTAAACAATTAATAACCTGCTCCAAATATTAAATATTTAAGTATTAAATACTGAGCTTCTGAGTTACATAGAAGAAACTGACCCAAGGTAAATGCACAATAAAGCTACTGTCTAAAATTCATTATTGGCTGGTAATTCTAATATATATGACAATATGTAACTTGATATATTAGTTTAGATAATTTATATTTTCTTTCCTTCCTGAAATACCTTTATCACTCTTGTTCATAGTGCACCTCAACTCTATAAAAAAATAAAAATTGAATGAGAATTTTTACCTTCTATTACACAAATGACCATTTTTATGACTCACATTTAAAGTCAATCTCCTTTTTTTAGGAAAAAAAATATTTTGGACCAATTTCAAATAATAAGGATTAAAACTTAAGAATCATAAAGTTGCCCAGTGCTAATTTGATTCCAAGGACTAAATTCCTGTGCCCCTCCATTACTGGAGATTTCATTATTTCTCAAAAAATAAAAATAGAAAACTCAACTATGTCAAGAAAGAAAACCTGTCTTCTCTCATGTGCATGGCAGAGCATAGCTTTTAATTCTACAAGCTCTGTTCACCATGAATTCCTACTGGAATAAGGGAGCCTTCCAGATACTTGATCCAGCTTTATTAATTCTTTCATCTACCTCTTGAAATGAAAAATGAAGTACAACAATTCCCAACAGATAAAAAAAGAGAAAAATAAAATCTGTAACATGGACCTTTTAAAAAATTTGTTAACTTTTAATGTGATTTAGGTAAAAGTTTACAAAGCAAACTGGCTTTCCATTCAACAGTTCATACACATTCAGTCAGTGATACTGACTGAATATGTGCCTTTTCTGAAGTCTTCAAATCTCTTACCTTTTGCACCGGGTAATCCTGGAGTGCCCACTGGTCCTGGAGAGCCTGGCTGCCCGGGGGTCCCCATGACACCCATTTCTCCTTTGGAACCTGTGGCCAAATGGGAAGACTGTGAACATCTCCGCATAGCAGATGCTGACAGCTAACATCAAGGGCAATGAAAAAAACAGTTACTTATTCCTCAAAATCAGTTAGGCGAGAAGTTCACAAAAATCATATACCTGGCAACCCTGGAAGTCCAGGAGTCCCCTGTTGTCCAGGAAGGCCAGGGAGCCCTGATTGTCCAGTTAAGCCAGGAAGTCCTTGAGACCCTTTATCTCCTTTAGGGCCTGGCATGTCCAGTCCTGGGAATCCAGGGAAACCCTTCTCTCCTTTTATTCCAGGAGGGCCTGATGTTGGGGGAGTACAAATAACTTTTAGCAGAATTTAAGGAATGTTCTACATCATGGTTTATTGTGTTTATTTTAACTATTACTTTGTGCAAAAAAGAATGAGAAATTGCCCACACTAATGAGTTCAAATAATTTCACCTTCTTGGATATTGATGGTTTGGGTCATCAAGGCAGTTGATGGGTAAAAAATATTCTAAGAGAAAAACCCTTTTCTTTCAGCCATCACAATTAGTGCCTAACACTCTAATGACCACTACTTTCAGACCTCTAGGACTAATTTCCAGTTTTCTTCAACAATTCTTACTGATCATCTTATCTTACCCCACCATCACCATATTTATTCTAAGGTAGTCATTGTAGGTAAAGGTAGCTTCTCTACCTAGACTCAAGTAGTTTAACTAATTCACAATTTACTTATTTTTCTTCTGGAAAGATAATCTAGAGACAATAACCATTTTGAATTGAACAAAAAAGTTATTAAACTATAGTAAAATATGTTGGTTGTTTGGCATGTTAACCAAACACAATGAGAGGAAAAACAAGAAACCTGTGACTCTGTGTTTAAGCAAGCAACCACACTGTAGTCAAAACTACTTTCATAAATTGGAATTGACTTTTCCTCCTCTTACTTCACAGATTATATAATTTGACACGTACTGAGACTGCTGCATCATCTCCTAAACCCATTGTGAGTATGATTTAGGGAAGAAATAATTCTAGAAGAATGTTACATCACCTATTGACCCTGGTGGTCCCTGTCCTCCAGGGGGGCCCATCACTCCAGGGGGGCCGGTTCCTGGAACTCCCGGAGACCCCCTGGGACCTTGTAATCCAGGAGATCCTGGGTCACCTAGTCAGAGGGAAAAAAATTGTGAAAAAACTACTTAGGGATCAATTTGTTCACAATCCACTAAGTTGTCATACAACAAGCACAATGGAAAACCATAAGCACTCATCTTCTAAGATTTTGATCATTCATCTGTTCAACAAACATTTAGTGAGTATGAGTTGGTACTTGGGAGATAACAAAAATAAACAGACCCAGTTATATCATGGTCTGGATTGATGTGCTATGTTACCTCTGATCCCTTGAAGCCCAGGAGGGCCGATGGCACCATGTTCTCCAGGAATGCCTGGTTCACCAACACTCCCTTTTTCCCCAGGTGTGCCGGGTATGCCAGGAAGACCTGGCAATCCTTTCAATCCTGGCAGACCAACTCCAGGCTCTCCCTTAAAATTCCCAAAACACAGAGATGCAATTTCATTAGGCAAAGTCAATATTTTTTTCAAGTCAATAGTATAAATGAGGATTGTTAACTGATACTCTCAACACATCTAACAAGAAGAATAACTATTCAACTCTTAAGTTTGTGAAGTTTCCGCACACCTACTATTTCCTCTCAATCTCACTACAAGCCCAAAACGTAGGTACTTTTTATAATGTAAATTTTATAGAAAAGGAAAGCCAAGGTTCACGATTGAATGACTTGAATGAAAGTCACACAGGCAAGGTTCCAACCCAAGTCTTCTGTCTCCTCTTTCTGTCTTACTCGTTCCCCTTTGCTCTGCTACCTTGTATTTGTGATGAAGAGCTAACTCTAAATAACGGACAAAAAAAAAAACAAAGAATGCTTTTCAACCCGTTAAGTGATATCTTCGTAAGAGATGGCAAAGTTCTAGGACTGAAGCAGCATACATTTCTTGTACAAATGAGGGCCTTCAAATCAAAGTACATATTTAAAACTACTTTATGAATCAAACGTCTTCGACAAATACTGATTATTAAAAAATAAAGGAAGTATTTTTATAGAGTCCAACCACCCATTCAAAATTGACTCAAGTAATGCACTGATAAAGGCCATTTGAAACAAAGATGTGGAGATTGGATTATTTGCTCCACTTATGCCCATTATAAGTGATGACTTAGGGAAAAAGCATTTGACAAAATCCAACACCATTCATGGTAAAAAGTTTCAGAAAACCAGGAACAGAGGGGAACTTCCTCAACTTAATAAAGGATATCACAAAAAACCTAGAGCTAACCTCATACTTAATGTTGAGAAACTGGATGCTTTCCTCTAAAATTGGGAATTAAGTCATAGATTTCCCCTCGTGTCACTATCCAACAGTGTACTGAAAGTCCTAACTAATATAATTAGACAAGAAAAGGATATAAAAGTCATACAGATTGGGAAAGAAGAACTAAAACTGTCTTTGTTCACAGATGACATGATTGTCTATATACAGAATCCCCAAGAGAGGGGGAGCGGGGGGGAAGCCTCCCGGAACTAAAAAGTTATTATACCAAGATTGCAGGATACAATAATATACAAAGTCAACTGTTTTCCCATACACTGTCAATGAACAACTAGAATTTGGAATTAAACATCAGTGGGCACTTTTACACACATCTTGGCATGAGAAATCTGCAAAATAAAAGGACTCAAATCAAGGGATTTTTGAAAAAGCAAATTTTAAATAAAAAATCAAACCCTTGGTTCCAGTTAGAAGTATCCAATTCATTTTGTATTTATTAACTCATGAACCTTGCATGTTTAAGGTAACTCACATGCTACCACAGTTAACTAATTATTTAAATCAAAGGTTGATGATAAAGGGAGGCTGGATGTTTAACTACATAAAGACAAACTTGAGAAGGCTTCTCTGCAATCTCAGCCACAGGGTAAAGGGATTCCATGATCTTAAATATTTCTTGGGAATGAAGCTTTCATTGAATCACTAAAGCAGAGCTGCTTCTGTGGGCAGTTGTGCAATCTCCACAGCTTTTAGCTGCCTTCCCCTGATTTAAAGGAAAGAGGACCAATCTAATTTTATCATTGGTAAAGTTTATCTATTGCCCTTTGGTGCTTTCTCCTGTTTAATGCCAACACCTTCCAGCTCTTTCACTCCCCTTCCTCACAATAAGAACAGGAAAGGATCTAACCAATGCTCACTTACACTTGCTGAGTGGAATTTAAATATCAGTAAGCTGGCAGAGATATTTATTTGAAAGCAAGGAGAATCCTGAATTTACATTAGACTATGGTTATCAAGTGAGAGCTGGTTTTCTCCATGGGGACGTTTGGCAATGTCTGGAGGCAGTTTTGGTTGTCACAATTGTGTATGTATGGGGTGGGAGAGGCTATTGGCATCTACTGGGTAAAGGCAAATAATTGTTGTTGTTGTTTGCTGTCAAGTCGGCTCCGACTCATAGCGACTCCTCCTTGGGTTTCCGAGGCAGTATCACTATGGAAGTAGGATTGCCCAACCTTCCTTCCGAGGAGTGGCTGGTGGGTTTGAACCGCCAGCCTTCTGGTTAGCAGTCAAGTGCCAGAGATACTGCTAAGTATCCTACAATGCACAGGACAGCCCCTCATAAACAAAGAGTCATCTACCTCAAAATGTCAGTAATGCCATGCTTAAGAAATCCTGCACTAGACATTTCTGGCTGTCTTTAAAATAGTGGCTTACTAACATACTTTCTCTATTATATCTAATAAGAAACACATTTTACGTGAGATCCAATATACTCAAAACATACTTATAAAAATGAAATAAATGATTCCTTAAAAAATATTTACTACTATTTGCTACATACTCTGGTATTTCCTATTCTAAGCTATTTCATAGAAACAGACAAAAAACATGCTGCCCCAACATATAATTAATAACACATATTTTGCATGTCCAATTAATAACTGATATAGGGGGAAAAGCAACCCAGGAAACTGTCAGTACCCACCTTTTGACCTGGCACCCCTGGGTTACCAGGTAAACCATTGAACCCTGGGCGACCTGGATTCCCTGGAGCACCCACTTCTCCAGGCAAGCCCTGGATACCTATTTTAAAAAATCACAATAATTAATATTATAAAGTCATGCCCCACTTTCTTCACATCTTTTACACTTGCCCAAATGCACCTGAACTGAAGCGAGATGGTCAGCAACAAGTAACTCCTTCCAAAGTGGCTTTAAGAGGTACAATGAGCTCACCCTTGTGATGGAGGTGCCACACGGAAGTGGGAAAAATGAAGATGCAACAGATATAAATGCTTCTACTACCAGAACCTGAAACCCCCTCTCACACTTACTCTCCTCTTTCTGTTTTTCTACTCTCTTCAAGCTTTTCTTTCCTGTCTTGCTACAACACAACACGACAAACTGGGATTTGTAGACTGAGAAGAGTAGCTTAGAGTATTGCTACTCAAGGTGTGGTCCATGAGTCAGAAGTAGCAACATCACCTTGTTATATATGCAGAATCTCAGGCTCCAACCCAGACTTGCTAAATCGGACCAGCATTTCAACACAATCCCCATATGAATTGATTCCTGACACACTGAAGTTTGAGAAGCACTGGTTCTCATACTAGGCTGCAGCACTTTAGAAATCACCTAGGGAGATTCAAAGATGCTTGAGTCCCACTCCCAGAGACTTTGATGTAATTGGTCATTGGGCTTTTTAAAAGCTCTTCACACCCAGTTATCCTTTGGGCCTAGAAGTGGACTCACTCCCATGAAATGGCTCTCAGCCTAACAGTAGAAAGACCTACATGCAGAACACCTATCTCAGGGTGATGCACCCACCTACTCTAGGCAGATGCACCCTTAGATCAATCAACCATGAGACACCAGAGGGGCAGCATTCAGATTAAAAAATAAAACAAAACAAAAAAACCTTCACACCACATCACCAGCTGCCAATGAGTCAGCTCTAGCTCATGTGTGTCTAAGTAGAACTGTGCTCCATACGGTTTTCAGTGACTGATTTTTCAGAAGTAAATCACCAGCCGTTTCTTCTGAGGTGTTCTGGATGGACTTGAACTATCAACCCTTTGGTTAACAGCTGAGTTCTTAACCATTTGCACCACACAGTACCTCCTCACTCACTGTCCGTTGAGTCGGATCCAACTCATAGTGACCCCTCCTTGCATTTCCAAGGCAGTATCATTATGGAAGTAGACTGTCCAACTTTCCTTCTGAGGAGTGGCTGGTGAATCGCCAGTCTCTGGTTAGCAGTCAAACGCCTTAGGCACTACACTACCAGAGCTCCCCTTTGGATGGTTCTAATGTACAGGAAAGTTTGAGAAACACATGCCATGGGGCCATCACATAGAGTGGGTCTCCTAGTGAGTAGACCTAACTGCCCACTCAGCATCCATATCTCCAAGTAACTTTGTTGTCCACTTTTTATGAGTCAAAAGGCCTCTAATTAAGGAGCCCTTCATGGAAGTGATATGGGACTCATACGGACTATGGTGGTATTGACAAACATGGGGATTGGAGAAGGCCTTGGCATTTGTCCCTCTTGAATATCAAAGTTCTCTGCCCCTAAGACAGAAATAAGCAGTCATGTGCATGACAGATGCTTTGTGGCTGTCAGAGGAGAAAAGCTGCTGTCTCCTGCTTTCTGCATGTAACCACAAACACCAAACCCATCAGTTGATTTCAACTCAGAGCAGCCCTATGAGACAGAGTAGAACTGCCCCATAGGGCTTCTAAGCCTGTAAATTTTTACAGAAGCAGATTGCTTCATCTTTCCCCCAGGTGCAGCTGGTGGTTTGAAGTGCTGACCTTTTACTTAGCATCCCAATTTCTTTACTACAATGCCATCACATGTAAAGATCTATGAAAATAAAAGTGGACGTAAGGTAGTACCTTCAGCCAAAAAACCTGGGAGACAGAGAATTCTTTTATGCAAGTGTTGAGCAAATGGCGTGGATGCCTGATTAAACAGGAAAGATTCTCCCCTTTCGGTGCACAAAGAATCTTCCTCTCAGTCCTAGGAACCAATCTCCATAATGATTCTTCTGTAAATCACATTTCAAGGCTAAGCTGTCCTAAGAAAGTGCAAAAATGATGGCATTTTCCTCCTTTTTTATAGTTTTCAGGTTGAAGAAGTAATATAAAATTTTAGTGCCCTGTGAGGACTCAGGGCCCCCTCTTTTCAGTAAGAGAAAAGCCCCAAAGCCCTATTGTTGCCTGTACCCATCCCCTTGGCCTTCCCCCTGACTCCTGAACCAATTCTGGTATAGGTCCTGTGCACTGTATTTTTCTTCACTCCTCAGAGAGGATCCATTTGAGAGTGGGTTTGAAACTAATGCAGCATCTTCCAGTACTCCCAGTCATCATATTGTGGTCCTGAATGCCATGTTTTCTTTCTAAACATAATCATTCCACTGTGAAGTAGCATTTCATCCATTGCATTAAGTAATCAAAATCACAGTTCTTAAAATTGTACAGACTCTTCTAAACACTTCCACTTTGTACCTTCACTAACTTACATCATGTTTTTATAACTGTTACCTCCTCATGTTCTCACAGAATTTATGTGAAGGCAAAAGGAGAGATTAGCATACTGCTACTGACCAGCAAAGGAACTGAAGGCATAGCTGGGGTGCGTGTTGGCCGATGGAAGGGCAATGGCCCCAATAGCCAGGCTTGTCCTAGAGGTTTACCTTTGGGGCCTGGAGGCCCTGGAAATCCAATTCCTGGTTGACCAACAGAGCCCTTCTCTCCTGGGAGTCCTGGCCTTCCTGGAGTTCCAGGAAAACCTCTGTCACCTGTTGTGAGGACAACAAATGATTAGTATAAGAAAAAAATGATAATTTATACATTTTATCTCCAAGCAAGCTAAAATTCTAAAAATACCTTGAGGTCCTTGTAAACCTGGGGGCCCTGGAAATCCTTCTGCTCCAGGGGGACCAGGTAAAGGAACAGTTTTTCCTGCTTCACCCTTTGGACCTGGGGGGAGAAAAAAAAAAAAAAAAAAAGACAGAGTATGAGCTACAATATCTTATCCTCTTACAACTCCTTAAAAAAAAAAAAAAAGGTATTTTAGCATACCTAAAGAAGGCTCAGTTGAAATTTCTTCCATTTCTACTTTTCTAGAATATCAGAAAAAGCTACTCCTTTCTCCAAAACTTATGTCCAAAAGACCTCAATGATTGCTTTACATAAGAATTCCTTAAGAGTCCAAAATCAAAGTTGCAACATCTGAACCATCTATGATAACAAAAAGTCATGTGGCCCTGTGTGACTTCTTAGTTAGCCTGTTCAAATATCAAAAACATTTTAATGTTCTCTCTCAATTTATCAGCCAGTAGTAATTCTTTGATGCTGACCTACATTATGTTCACTTGGTAGTAAGTTACCTTTATTACCTGATAAATATGTGATTATATATTGCCCATAACAGCGCAGCTGGAGATTCTTATGCTATCTCCAGCAGCACAGAAAAATCACCCCTTCCACCACCAAGGCTTTCCCAGCTAGGAGGTAATTGGCCCAGTAGTCATCTGGGTGTGGATGTAATGCCTTGGAAATCCACTCAGTGTCAGGATTTAGCTTTTCAGAGAAGACCAAATGGCTCACTTCAAGGAATGTATACACCGAACCTAAATTTTAAAATGCAAGATATTTAGGGCCTCCCAGTAACAACAGCCCATGCATTCTTTAGCTATAGATTATGCTAAGTATATATTTGCTATAGATCACACCCCCGGGATTTAGACAGCTCTGGCAAATGAAAAAAATTAGTGTTATAATCTAAAAAGCTTATGGGTCTGGACAGCCAAGGAACTCTATAGAATGCAGACAACTGACAATGGCACTATCAATAATACTTCCTTCAGGAATTTCTGTCCCCATAGCGCCAGGATACATTTATTATTGTTGGTGGTGTTAGTGGCCATACACTTAGCTCTGACTCATGGCACCCTCGTGTCTAACAATGAAATGTTGCACAGTCCTACACTATCTTCATGACTGTTGGGATGTTTCAGTCCATGTATTTATAAGTGCCTCAATTAGTTTTTCACATAGTAGTTTCTGGCTTAAAAAAAGAGGCTAATTCCTTTTTATAGCTTTGAAAGTTTGCAGATTCCACAAGCACATAGAACACTTGATTTGCTGATTTTCAAATCAGGAGCTGGGAGGAAAGTGATCAGAAACCTCATTTCCAGCTCACTGATGGGCTTTCTAAGTCAGCCCAAATATTTCTGTGCCCCTAAAGAAGTTGTAATAAAAGAGACACTTCTGAGAGCCTTGCTAAACAAGAATGATTAATGGAATCGTAACTTGGTGCTAAATGTTCCGTGAGTATACAAACCATCAGAACGATAATAATAATAACAATAGATGCATTAGAACACTAGAACTTTTATAAAAGACTGGCTAACATTTCCCACTGTTATAATGCCTAAGAACTTTACACTATGTCTCAATTAAGGAAATAATTATTTCTAATGGGGATATTTGGCTGCTAACCAAAGGTCAGTGATTCAAACCCACCAGCCATTTTGTGCAAGGAAGATGGGGCAATCTATTTCCTTAAAGATTTACAGCTTCTGAAACCTAATGGGGTTTGCTTTGAGTTGGAATTGACTTGGTGGCAGTGAGTTTTTTTGGTTTTAATGGAGATCGGAATTAACAAAACTTGGACTATATATATGGTTGGTGACAGAATGAGCAAATTTGTGAGCAAGAAGGCCACAGTGTAACTGCTTCTAAATGGTTCTTGTTGGTTATTTTGATCATCCAGCTACTTGGTTAACTATGTTTTCCAAGGTTAACTAATCACACATTCTTTTTTGGTGTAGTGGTTAAGATGTTTGACTGCTAGCCAGATGATCATGGTTAACACCCACTAGCTGCTCCATGGTAGAAATATGAGGCAGTCTGCTTCCATAAGATTTACAACCTTGGAAATCCAGTGGGGGTCACTAAGAGTTGGAATTGACTTGATGGCACTGAGTTGAATTAAAATCCTTTCATTCACTTTACAACTTTTTTTTTTTTTATTTCCTAGTAATGCACTTATTTACCTCCCCTATCTCTGAGCACCTCTCCTCTTCTCATTCCAGGACTTCCTAAGGAATGGTTCAAGTGTCCCATTTCTATTCCAAATCATATTCAACTAATACATTATTAAAAACCTATTATGTGCAAGGCAAAGGGCTATATCGAAGCACAGGAAGTATGTCTGTTTTGTTCAGCACTTTCTCGCCAATACTTAGCATAGTGCTTGACACAGAGCATCCACTCAGTCAAGAGTAAATGACTGAAACTAAAATAGAATTAAATAAGAACATTGAAATTGAAAATGCTACAGGATCAGTCAATAACCCATTATTCTATTGTTGCAGAGTAGATTCTGACTCATAGCAACCCTATAGGACAGAGTTGAACTGACACATAGGGTTTTCAAGCCTGTAATCTTCATGGAAGCAGACTGTTACATCTTTCTCCTGTCACTGTTGGGTTTGAACCAATGATCCTTTGGTTAATAGCTAAGAGCTACCTACTGCACCACCAGGGGCTCCTTCTTGTTGTTGTTATTATGTGCCATCGAGTCGGCCCCGACTCATAGGGACCTCTCCTTGGGTTTCCAAGGCAGGATCACTACAGAAGTAGGATTGCCCAACCAGGGCTCCTTAGAATCAGTCAAACCAAGCCCACAGTCATCAAGTCAATTCTGACTCACAGTGACCCTGTACAACAGAGGAGACTCTCCCATGTTTTCCAAGAATAAAAATCTTTATGGAAGCAGACTGCCACATCTTTCTCCCACAGAATTAGTCAATAGGCATCTGCATATCCAAGGGAGAGGCAGAAATTATATGGATTAGGATATATGGAAGCCAGTATTGATTTCTTATCCAAGAACAATAGAAATCAAGGGAAAAAAAATATATTTGCTTAAGTTTCTATTCTCTCTGCATAAAAGACTAGCATTCACTGATATGCATATATTGTATACTTACTTATAAAGATAATCATCTACAAAATAAAAACAGTTTTTAGCCAGATCTTATAGATGACCTAGGAGCTCTGATAGTGCAGTGCCTAAGGCACTTGACTGCTAACCAGTAGGGTCCCACTTCAAGGCACATAACAACAACAATAGATGATCTGGCTCATCTAGCTCATTATATATGTAAAGAAACAAGGTACACAAAGGCTTCAGAAAGACTTGCTAAGGTCACAACCTCGTGTCTGCAGGAACTGAAACAAAAGTCATGCTGCCTGCCTCTCTGGGGCCAGTATTCTTTGTGTAGCCTTTGTGGTGCACCTTAAGAATTCTCAGGCCTCACCTGGGAGGCCTGGTGATCCGGGGTTTCCAGGAAAACCTGTTTGTCCTTTGTCACCAGTTGGGCCAATAGGACCAAACCCTGCTGGGCCAGGAGGGCCGATGTCACCACGACTTCCAGGGAATCCAACTCCTCCAGGAGGGCCACGTTCTCCTTTTAATCCTACTGAGCCCTAAAACAAGAAAGAAAGAGGAGCTTTATTAGTTGACAGACCAACCACTCCTATCCATATTACATTGTCCAGCCATCTGCTGTAAATAAGTACCAAAATTCAACCAGCTTACACTTATTTACTTCATTAACTCTCCCACAAAGGGCACCATGTGGTTAACAACTAAAACCAATATACTTTTTTCTAAGCCTAGAAATAATTTTCCCTTTCCCACCCTACGTAAGGAGATATTTCAAAGAATGAGATAACGTATATCGTGAATTTTTAAAAAAAGAATTAATTTAAGACTACTAACTTTAAATTTCATCTCCCCATCCAACAGATCTAAGTCTTTCCAGTTCTCCAAACATATCAGCTGATTCTGGTATTATTATCTTCCAATCTTCAAGTCAACACTATCAATACCTAGGTTTTCAGACTTGAGTTTTCCCATGAACCAAATTCATTTTTGATAGTCACCATTCAGATCATTATTTGAAAATACATAGAAATGCGTCAAATAATTCATTTCTTTTTTTTCTTTGGAGGTTAACGTGTACTGTGCATATTCAAAGTATGGAAATAAACATACCGGTGATCCTTTGGGTCCAGGAAGACCAGGATGGCCATCTCTTCCAGGGGTTCCTGCTCTCCCTGGCATACCAGGCTGTCCTGGAAAGCCTGGGTTTCCTTTTTCACCTTTGAGTCGTATGTCAAAGTAAATCTCTCCAGGTTCTCCTTTGGCTCCTGGCTGACCCATAAGCCCTGGTGAGCCTTGTGGCCCCTACGACAATAAAGCATTATGATGCCACAGAATACATCCATTCATGTAACATACTAGCTTGATTGATAACACAGTCAATAATGATATCAGAACTGTGAAGCTATCATCTTTAAAAATTGCAATGCATTTACATCTCATCATTCATTTTCTAGAGGGAAGCCAATAGCTCTGTGAACAAAGCTCTGATCTGACCTCACTACTTGTGTTTCTTTTACAAAAAGGAGGGAGTAATAGATTGGCATTGGGTACAAAGAAGCCCTTAGATAACTTTCTTTCCCCTCACAACTGTTAAACATTCACAAAAACATTTTGGCAACTGTTTGGAAAAAAAAAAAATCAGAAAAGTCTTTCTTGGTGAGGTGCTGAATGTGTGAGTCTCAGGGTCAAGGAACTACAGAAATGGCTTATGGGTACAGATGATGTTGAAGAGTCAATGAGGGTTGGGAATAGCAACGTTTCTTCTAGTTCTGGTCAGTATTGGGAGTTGCTGAATGGAGCAAATGGTTAATGTGTTCAGCTGCTAACAGAAAGACTGGAGATGCTAGTCTACTCAGAGGTGCCTCAGAAGAAAGATCTGGTGATCTACTTCCAAAATACCATCTTTTGAAAACTCTGTGGAGCACAGTTCCACTCTGACCCACATGGGGCCGCCATGAGTCAGAATCGACTTGACAGCAACTGGTGGTGGCCATCACTACTGACATTTCACAAGTTTCCTTCTATACTCATCCATATCCTCTATTTCAGAAAAGATTAGGACTTCCAAGGCAAGACTGAAAGAGGAAATTCTGGGTAGTGAATATATGTCCAACTCTTCAGTTATTACAAACTGCAGAAGAATAGATTTGACATTCCCAAGACACACACATTAGAACATTTTTCAGTTCCTGGAAAGTAAAATCTGCAAAGAATGCCTACCCCCACAGATGATTTCTCTTTCAGCCACTTTGAGAGTTGGGTTCACAAGGAAAATTGCAATGGTTCAAATATTTGTCCCAATCTCTTATTCTCTGAGGCCTAAGGAACAAATCTCTTCAGTTGCCCTGCTATCTTGGCAGAATTTAAACTCTTGCACAATTCTTTCAGTTTAAATCCCTTTCCATAAACTCCCTCTCAAAAGATTCTTAGATACATCTGTGGATCCCACACATACATAACCTCTCTGTGTGTGTATAGCATACATTTGTTGTTGTTGTTGTTGTTATGTGCTGTCGAGTCGGACCCGACTCATAGTGACCTCTCCTTCGTTCCCAAGGCAATATCACTAAGGAAGTAGATTGTCCAACCTTCCCTCCGAGGAGTGGCTGGTGGGTTTCAACCGCCAGACTTCTGGTTAGCAGTCAAGTGCCTTAGGCACTACGCTACCAGAGCTCATTTAGACAATCAGAAACATACCAAAATTCATACAATTTTTAGCGTTAAAAAACAGCTATCATTTATCATGTCCCTAACATGTCATGATCCTTTGCATCATCTCTAATCCTGATCATGACTCTGGAACATTTTAATCATCATTTAGCAAATGAGGAAACTGATACTCAGTGAAGGTCAGTGATTTTTCCCAGAGTACATACATGTAAGCATTGGAGCTGGAATCCAGACTCATTTATTTCTGCTGCATATCATGTAAGCAAGCACTCAAAGAACTTACATATTATCTGGTAAAACATACTCATTAGACAAATGTGGAGACTGACATGTGAAGAAGTTAAGCAAATGATAAATTTAGGACTAACCCAGAGGGACTTGACTTAATTTTTCTGCCCATATTGCTACCGAAGAACAATAACCTAATGCAGGTTAAAGAATAGGAGCAGGTCTTTCTATGCTAAACCCGGCAGAGTGACACCATGTGGATGTACATCTAACACCATCTAGCACACTGTTAGAAATATGAAGTCAGCAACTCTTTCTCTCTGTGTGTGCACTGTTCAATACAATTTAAAAATTTAAATTAAGTGTATTTAAAAATACAGTTTCTTAGTCTTAACTAGTCACATTTCAAGTACACAACAGCCACATATGGACAGTGGCTATCAAATTAGACAGTACAGACACAGAACATTTCCATCATTGCAGAAAGTTCTGGACTGCGGGACAGCTGACCTGAGCTGTCCTCGAGTTAAAAGTGCCTCTTATAATACAGCACATTTCATTTAAACCAACTCAAGAAAGGTAGAAGAAGCCCAATCTATTTAATGTGGTGCCAGGAGTGGCAATAATTTATTTCTACCAGCCACCTATCAGAAAAATTAGCAGAGGGTCATGGAAAATTCATTATTTGGGGTAAATCAAATGAATACATAATCTTACTTTTGAATTTGAAAAGAGTTGTGGTATTTTTTAGATTTATTTTGAGTTAATATTAAAAAAAAACTCACTGCCATCAAGTCAGATCTGACTCATAGCGACCCCCCCTTGGGTTTCCGAGCCAGTATCTCTATGGAAGTAGATTGCCCAACCTTCCTTCTGAGGAGTGGCTGGTGGGTTTGAACCACCAGCCTTCTGGTTAGCAGTTACTACCAGCTGGCTATACCTGGGCACAGAGAAACTGCAACTGAATTGTGATCACATGAGATGAAAAGTAATTGACAAGCACAGACTAGATTTAACAGCATTGCTCATTCTCAGTGCTCTGCATGAACTAAGGACTAGGGTCAAACACTATAGTAATTCTAGATTACTGGACAAAAGGACACTTTACCAGTCCCCCAGTAAGTCAGAAGCCATTTTTTGCACAAAGGGGGAAAAATACATATCTATCTATCTACATATTTGTTTGGTTGCAACTTCTAATATATATATGAACTCAAACAGGTTTACTTACTGGCAGCCCTCCCAGACCATCCCTTCCAGGTAAACCTCTGTCCCCTTTGGCTCCTGGCTGTCCTGGGAAACCTTTCAGAAGAGAGGGGCGAGAGAAAATATCAGCATATCATTCTCAAAACATTTCCTAATAACTCTAAAAGTTTCTCAAAATCTGAAAGTATAAAAGTCTTTATATATAGTGGATGGATATTTGAAAAATCTCAAGAGAGTATTAACTTAAATGCCCCTAGATAGGTTCAGAAAGAGAAAAAGTAACCTCCAATGCATACAAATAGCACTGAAGGAGGTTGCTACAAGCCTCCTGAACTCACCATACACCACTTTAAGGAAAAACATCCTAATAACTTCTTTCATTCGAGATTGCTAAATTGATGGATATGAGTGAACACCTAATGCTGCTTTCCTTGTATTAGGTAATCTGAGCCATTCCAAAATGATAGGCTATCTTGATAATTTTCAACAATGTGAACACATCTTGAAAGTATGGTTTAAAATTCTCATTATTAATCTTTAGCTTTCAATGTAGAAAATTAAGTTTCTTAATGGAGTAAGATATGCTTCAGTGTGAAGGTGCCAATCCATTGAAGTCCATTTTCATATTTCAGCTCTTACCTATTTCTCCTGGGGGACCTTGTGGCCCTGGAGGCCCTCGGATTCCGGCTGTATCACATTCAATGCAACTCTCTCCTTTTTGACCTAAAAAAGAGAAACAATGGGACCTTACATGCAGTATATGAGCATAAATCTCTGCAGTGTGCTTATAGAAAAGAAAAAGGCAAAGAAGGCTGTCACTCATTGTGTTCTATTCAAATTCATGTTTTTTCCCTTTATCCAGATCCTGCTCCAGATGTCTCCTTGTGCTCATGGGTTGACCCCTCCCAGTCTGCTATGTGCCCTTCTTTCTGAGGTCATTGAACACGCCTGTTGCCTTCTGCACACTTTGTATGTTACTGCTACTGTACTTTAAAAATGAATCCTAGTATTTCTACCTTGCAAAAGGATATGGCTGCTTACAAAAATGATCCAGACCTTCAATTTTGCCTGTCAACCTGAGAATATTTGACCATTATAATTTTGTCTCTAATTCTAAAACTTCCCTCTTTTTTTTGTTTTTTCCTTTACTTGAGTATTTTTTGTTTGTTGTGTCAGGTGCTGTCAAGTCAATTTTTGACCCACAGTGACCCTGTGTGACAGAGTAGAGCTACCCCATGGGGTCACCTAAGCTGTAATCTTTATGGAAGCAGATCACCAGGTCTTTTCTCCTACAGAACTGCCTTTTGGTTAGCAGCTAAGCTCTCAACCATTGCACTACCAGGGTTCCTTTTAGTACTTTTTAGTGAACTAAAATGTATTTCCTGGATATTAAATCTGTGTTACTGGCTGATGGAAAATCAATGTGAATTAAAAGCCACAAAAGCCGAAACCTGTCTTGACACCAGATATTAGAATAGGAGAGAGACATGGGACACACACATGCACACACACATACACACATGCATGTGCACATGCACACACACAAAAAAACAAACCAGGAGAAAATTCCTTTCTTTGGAAATTCCAACATCTTCTCTCTTGATTAAGGATCTCTGGTGGTGCAGTGCCTAAGGCATTTGACTGCTAACCCAGAAGGTACACAGTGCAAACCACCAGCTGTTCTGCAGAAGGAAGATGGGGCAATCAACTTGCATAAGGATTTACAACCTTTACATAGAAACCTGAAGGGGGTTGCTGTGAGTTGGAACCAACTTGATGTCAGTGAGTTTGTTTTTTTTAGTTTCTACCTTGATTTTCAAACTAGTTTAAAAGGCTTATGGTATCTTAGATACATGTGTGTCTTAAATGTCCAAATATCTGGTTTCTGGATATAAATCAGGCATAAAGAGAGTGAAAGGATCATATGAAAAAGCCCATACTAAGGAGTCAAAGAGGTTGGTCTTTATTCTCTTTCTACTCCTCTCTCTAAATGGCTGCTTCCCAGCCCTAGGCACTATTGTTTAATGTTCCATGCCAGGGCCCTATTGACATAAATGGAAGCCAGATCAACAAATATAACTCTATGGTGCTGCAATGTGGAGAGAGGCACACTTTTTCATTTGTGTTCTTCCATGGGGCAGAACTGGAACCTATTAGTGGGAAAGAAATGATTCAGCTTAAGTTCTGGGTACAGTGGAGTTCCATGGGTGCTTTTGCTTTCAAAGCTGTAAGTGGATGAAGAGATTTATTAACAAACTAAAATCAGGGTAGGATGATAGTTCTATAAGTATGAAGACAAAGGGAGGAAAGAAGGCTTTAGTTGGGATTCAGGGGTAGGTAAACAAGATCTCATACCTTCTAAGTATTAGATCTGGCATAACATGGAACAGTTCACCTGTACTAATGCCTGGTCACTACTGGTATTCATTGAAAACCAAATGGCAAATAGACCAGTGGCAAACTTTCTGATAGCTTCTAAGATCACTACCATCTAAGATCCTGCAATTTATGTGGTTGTTAAATTTCTAAGATGTTAGTGAAAATTGTTTTCCATGGAGTGTTTGTGTTTCAGACTTTTGAGGACCAAAACTTTTTTAAAATCTAAAGGCAGAAATGATACATATTGGAGTTGATATCCTTTCTACTCTCTCGTTATAAATAAACATAGAAATATTAAAATATCCATTATTTATTATACTCTACATTGATGCAGTAATAATCCACTACTGTTTCCAAGATCGCTAAAGAGGTTAAAATATACCCTGTGCTGATGTTACAGCAAACACTTGAAAAGATTAAAGACAAAATTCAGAGCCAAGAGTGAAGCAGCAGATTGCACAGTGATTATGCAAATATGATTTGAGTATGAGTGGGTATTCCCATTCCATGGACAGATTTGTGATTTGGCTTGAAAGAAAGACTTTCATTCTTTGAGACTAGAATTCTCCAAGTCTGAACTGAAATATCATGACAATATATGGATCCGACTGAGCGTTTAACCTGCTGACCATGTCTGCATTGCAAAGTTTGACTCCATAGTCCATAAAAATCATACAATGACTTTTACTTTCAGGGCTGTATCTTAGTATTTCCCTCCCAGATGATAGATAACTCTCTCTCAAAAGCTCAAAATCAGAACTATTGCAACAGAGTTGTAGGAAGACAATTTTTCTAGGAATGGATTTTAAGGGCAGGTCCCAATAAAGAAGATTATACCCAAACCCACTCTAACCCCACTCCAAAGCCAGCACAAATGTGTGGATGTGTACCACATACATGAATATAACTGCCATTTAAAAAAAAAAAGAAAATTAAAATCTCTTACCTTTCTCTCCAACTTCCCCAGTCAATCCGGGCTGCCCTGGACTTCCAGGAGGACCCTGATCACCTCGTGGTCCCGGCTGACATTCCACAATTCCATCTGAAATTGATTTTAGAAGTACAGGATTGTTCCCACTAAACTGAAATCAGGTATTTTCACTCTCTTAATTCAATCTCTATTATAAAATAAACTATTTTAGAGTGTTTGATAAGCACTAGAAATCCAGCTTTAGTTTGCTTTAAAACATTCCTGCTATATAAACTTGAAAAATACAACTAATATGCATATCACACTTGCCATTAGAAGCAAATGTTACTAAAATTTCTATTTCACCATCCTAAAGCACCATTTAGTTCATAAAGCCCTTTACCATGCATTATTTCATATTTATATTGCTTAGTAGGAACCATCATCTTTATTTTACAGAGTAAGAAACTGGAGTCTCAAAGAAGTTAAGTGATTTACCCAGGGCATCTAGTACAGTCTACGCTGAAACTTGAACAAATTTACTCCTTTTGTTTTTCTAAGCAAATTACCAGACAAATAATTATTACTTTAGAGAAGCAGGTTATTCACAGGAAAATGCCTCTAATTTTTCATTCATAAGCAATTCTGAGTATCATTTATATAACAAGGCATGAAAATAATTGACAGTAATGCAAACACCATCTGTTATGGGTAACTAGCTTAACAAAAAGTATTGTTTTATGTTTCAGATATACACTGTGAGAGAGTTTATACTTTCTTCTCTAATATTTCTAAAGAAAAATATCAGAGTAAATGATTTAACAGAGACCCTAAGTGGTGTAAAGAGTTAATACACGTTGGCTGCTAACTGAAAGGTTGGAGGTTCAAGACTACCCAGAGGCGCCATGGAAGAAAGGCCTGGCTATCTACTTCCCAAAAAAATCACCTATTGAAAACCCTATAGAGTGCAGTTCTACTCTGACACCCATGAGGTTGCTGTAAGTCAGAATCAACTCAATAGCTATTGGTACTATTTTAGTGAACAATTTCACATATTGCTTCTGCCTGGAGCACTCCAGTCATCAATATAGTCAAAACAGTTAGGAGTTAGAGCTCAAGCTTCTCTATGTTTTCCTTTATTCTATTTTTTTATGATCATAAAGAGAAGAAAACAACAGAGGCTACAGCGTCATTTGAACATCCCTAAGACCACTATAACATAAGGGGCCGAGGGTCTGCCTGTGCAGTTTCTACCTCTGGCTTGGATGTGTTAGCCAGCGACAACAATTTCAGCTTCTCCACCTCAGCGTTCTCTACTGGTTTACAATATATCAAGTGAGCAATGGTAGCTTTGCTCTTCTAAACAAAAATGCTAAAAAAAAAAAAAAAAAAAAAAAAGCAAAAACTTCCTTGTTCTATTTGTTTAGAATTCAGTGGAAAGGTTACTTTCAAGTGTGCAAGAATGAAGTCTGAGGGAAAAGCCTTCTTGTTTTGCCTGCTTTTTGGTTACTGATTTTTTTTTTTTTTTTTTAATGAGATTCCTCCAAAAACAGACAGTAAGAAAGCCCAAGGTAGTGATAACTATCTGTCATCCCCACTTGGCAGCCACTGCTATGCACCCCGCTCTGTGGTTTCTGTTTCTCCTTAACTCTTTTTTGGTCCTTTGACCTGTGCTCAACAGACACTAATGGTCTTGAACAAAGTACAGTTAATTTTTATACTTCAAAGAGCAGTCCCTAAATTACTTCACTTTAAAGAACCAAGATTTCCTCAAATTTACACACACACGCGCACACACACACACACGCATATATGTTTGTTGCTGTTGGGTGCTGTCAAGTCAATTTCAACTCATAGCAACCCCACGTGATAGAGTAGAGTAGAACTGCCCCACAGGGCTTCCTAGGAATTTGATTCAACAGCAATGGATTTGATTTGGTTTTTTAAAAATCTTTATGGAAGCAGATTGCCAGGTCTTTCTCATGTGGAGCTGCTGGATTAGAATCATCAACCTTCCAATTAGCAGTGAACCTCTCAGCCACTGCACCATCAAAGCAATATCCACACACACACCCAGAACACACTTCCTGTAGGATGGATCTCAACCAGAATGACTTCCCATCTTTGAGAAGAAAGTAATGATATGTTCTCAACAAAAAATGGATTTAAAATAATTTTAAAATCTAGAGCAAGAATATAGTGACTATTTCTGAGGAGTTCTAAATGGAAGTCTAAGATTCTACATTTTATATCTGAGCATTAACAGATCTGCAGTCACAGATGGCCTAGAGTTGGCTGCAACCATATGGGACCAGATTACAGCACAGAATGGGGATGTAGAAATCTACATGGGGGTGATTAAATGATGCATGGCTAATGAGCTATTGATAGGTCCCAAGGCAGCAGTTAGTTTTAAAATGTAGCCTCTTTGAATATCTACTGTAAATCTGAAAATAGTTTTAATTTGCAAATTATCATTTAATACTCCATAATTGTGAATTACTTAATTTACACTGACTAAAAGGGGCAAATTGGAAAATTATGATGGTGGATATTATACAATGTGTTTGGCTAATGCTTCCTACTGAATTGACAGTAGTGGAAAGTTCATACTCTTACATGAAATCTGTTAATGTCTTGGTGCTGGCTAAATTATATATATTCAAAAAGAATGCTCTTCTCCCAGATTTCCCAAGAATGGTTCCCTCACCTCCTTCAGGCTTCTGCTGAGCAAGCACCCTATTAAAAATTTCAATTCCATGAGTCCAGCTCACCCCCAACTTCAGAACTCCGTATTACATTCCCTTGGTTTTTTTTTCATCTGTAGCACTTACCAACTCCTAAATACCATATAATTTACTTAGTTATGTCTGTCTTGCCCCTTAGTTTGTGAGTTCATTAGCACAAATTTTTTTTTTTAATGAGTTTGTCACTGCTCTGGCTCCTAGAACAGTGCTTGGTAAATAACACCAAACCAAATCCATTGCCATTGAGTCAATTCTGAATCATAGACACACCGTGTGTTACAGAATAGAGCTGCTCTGTAAGATTTTCTTGGCTGTAATCATTACAGAAGTAGTGTCTTTCTTCTGCAGAGCCAATGGGTAGTTTCGAACTACCAACCTTTATGTTAGTAGCCAAAAGCAAACCATTTGTGCCAGCTAGGGATCAGTCCCTGGGGGAGGACATCATGCATGGTACAGTAGAGGATCCCAAGAAAAGTGGAAGACCTTCAATGAGTTGGACTGACACAGTCACTGTAATGATGGGCTCAAATGTAACACTGATTGTGAGGCTGGCACAGGACTGGGCAATATTTTATTCTATTGTACATATGATCACTATGAGTTGGAAGTGACTTGATAGTACCTAACAACTAACAACAGGGACCTCTGAGTAGGCATTCAAATATTTTTTTGAAAGAAAAAGTAATCCAAAGACCCATTTTATGCTCAAAGTCTTCTCTTGGACACATAGAGAAAGACTGATTTTTGTTTGAATTTCTAAAGGATCAATATTTCATCTTCATTCTCCACATTTCATGAGAGAAGAAAGGAGAGTTCCACAAAGTCACCTATGATTGGTTCATTTCCCTGCCTATTACCAACACGTCAAAGGAAATTTATCCTGCTCCTTTTCCAATGAAGCTTCAAATCTGCAATCAATTGTTCTATCAAGTCCATATTAAGCCTCCGTAAATAGGCTTAGCTATGAAAACTCCCTTTAATAAATATCTTTTTGAATTCTAGCAAATAAATCTCAATTGGTACTTACAGTGCACAGAGCCCTCTTATATAAACAACAAGGCCAACAAGCAATTTAAGCACAATACAGAGCACAGACTGGGTCTGAACTAGGAAGACCCAAAGGCCTATGTTGCAAATCTGACAAACTTCCATTGGAAATTTTTTAGGTTCTATGTTGGTATTACTTTGGGATCATAAAAATCACATTAATTGAATCAAGCATTTATTGTTACATTGTTAGCTTTTATGGAGGGCTGATGTAAGAAAATTCTATATGGAGAATTATTCATATTTGAAGTCATTCATTACGTTATCAAATACACCATGGACTATGTACCCATGAAATCAATTCTCCCTTGTTTTCAGTCTGAGTTTGTATCTCTAGACAAATTAGAACACATTCTGTTTTCAATGACAACTACAGAACCTGTTAACCTTAGATGCCAGGAAACTCAGGACTGGTAACATGTTTTTATCCCTTTAAAAAGCTTTCTTTCTTTTCTTTTCTTTTAAAACTACTCCCTTTTATATCATGGTTAATTTTCCAAAGATGTCCAATTGGTGTATAAATAATTATATTCTAATTTGAGGTGAGTTCACAATACTCAGTCTAGCTTTCCCATGCCATCTTGCCATCTGACTAGACACTGTGATGGTTAATATTATACATCAACTTGGCCAAACTATGATTCTCAGTAGTTTGGCAGACACTATGTACTAACTTTCCATTTTATAAGCAGGCAATCAGTTGAAATGGGCATCTCCTTGGGGCAGTGGTCTGCTTCTGGTATATAAATGGATATTCTGGAGAAGCTTAGGCTCTCTCTCTTGACCCTGCATATTTCTCTGATTTGACTTCTGATTCCTAGACCTTAAGTCTGCAGAAGTCTCCAGCGTGCCACCTGATCTTCAGATCTTGGATTTGCCAGTCCTCATAACAATGTGAACCAGCAGGAGTCCCTAGCTTGCTGCCTGACCTGCAGATTTTGGATTTGTCAGCCTATGTAATCTCATGAACCAAGAGAAGTCTGCAGCTGCTAAGACCCATTGATTTGGGGATTGCTAGCCCCACAATTTCTTTGAAGTAAGTAAATATATATATATATATATATATATATATATAGGAGCTCTGGTAGCGTAGTGGCTAAAGCACTTGACTGCTAACCAGAAGGCTGGTGGTTCAAACCCACCAGCCACTCCTCGGAAGGAAGGTTGGGCAATCCTACTTCCGTAGTGATACTGCCTTGGAAACCCAAGGAGGGGTCGCTATGAGTCGGGGCCGACTCGACGGCACATAACAACAACAACAACAAATATATATATATATATATATATATGCATACATACATGATTCACTAGTTTTGCTCCCCTAGCAAACCCAGATTCAGACAGACATCCTATGAAAAAATCCCTGAGGAAACTTAATTTACCTGCGTGGCCTGGCTGTCCAGGGGGCCCAGGGGGTCCGGGAGGGCCTTGAAGTCCATCCCTTCCGCTTGGTCCAGGTAAAGACACACCTGGCAATCCCTGGTCACCTTTTTCTCCTCTTTCACCAGGGAAGCCAGGAGCACCAGCCTGTCCTGGTATAGGGAAGCCTTAAAACAGAACAAAATCTCAAGTAAAGGATCATAATGCAAAGTTTAAATCTATACAAATAAAAAGGCTATGCAATTCTAGTGAGGAAAGAGGCAGCATTTGGCTGGGAAAAAGGGGCATATGGAAAAAAGGACAGATGAGAAAAATATAGTGTGAATAAAGAGCAGAGTAGAGAAAAAAAGAAGAGTAAAAACATTTACGATGGGGTGAAGCAAATGAAACGATGGGAGTTCTGAGGAAAGATGAGCACATATTAAAGAATTTAATTTGCATCATTAGAAGAAAAGTTTAAAAAGGTTAAACCCACAGCACAATGTGTTGAAGGCAACAAAAAGAATTTAAGGCCATCCATATGGGCTTTAGTCAAGTACTCAGGGCCCAAATCAGTGGTAGGTGAGAAGAGAAAGCACCTCTAATGAAGAGAAGAATGGAACAATTAAATAGATAAGAAGCCAGTCTAACAATTCATTCTCTCTGGAGTTGAGGTCAGACAATGTGTTAGAAGAAGCAGGGGATGTGCAGAAGCTGATCTGAATAGAAACCCGTGGTTTTTAGCAGACAGATGCCTCTAGATAGTTCAATTTTGACAAATGTTGTTAAAAATTGTGGGTCAAGAAATTGAGTTAGAAAAGTAGTTGTAGAAAGTACAACTACTAAACTAAGGAGCAATATGAAATGGCAGGGTCACTAGAAGGGCAGTGGTTGATGAGGAAGGAAAGAGACAGAGCTAGCTAAGGGTAGTTCCCAAAGCTTTAGCAGACAGTGGGGATATGAGCAGATGAAAGGCCTGCCTTGAGCCATCACTGAAATGTAACTTAGATGGCAGGATGAGGACTTGCAGGGATTGGGGATTGAAAATAGGAAAGCAGAGATTGTTGTCTGCTCAGAAAAAAGGGCCTCTGACTCAACTTAAAACTTAAAAACTTGCAGCACTCTGTCCTGTAAATTCTAGGGCACATGAGGGTTTCTACCAGATCGTTCACTATGTCTACTCTAAGAACTGGAAGAAATACTACATACACTCACACACACTACACTCACATGTACACATATGTGGGTGTGTGGGTGTAATCTCCTAGCCTCTGAAATACACAGTCTATTAGAAAATGCAAAACTGGGATGCGTGTAATAATTGTAGAATGAATATATGCAGGGCAATACAGGATTCCAGAAAAGAGCAAGGATAGAGCTGACTCTAGCAATTAGGAGAGGTTTCATGCTAAGCTTGGTCTTGAGAGGGAAAAGTTTAAGTAAAGGCACTGAGGCTAATCCGACGTGTCTGTGCTGGGAAAGGGCGATCTGAGGAAAGAAGGAGGGCATTTTCTGTGAGAGCAACTGGAGATGATGTTTAAAAGGTACGGAGAGACTGAGATAATGGAGGCCGCAACAGCAGTTTTGACTTAAAGAGAGTGATAAAGGGTGGCATCCAAGACATATATGTCTATTAATTACATGAGCTCTGGTAGCATAGTGCCTAAAGCACTTGACTGCTAACCAGAAGGCTGGCAGTTCAAACCGACCAGCCACTCCTCGGAAGGAAGATGGGGCAATCTACTTTCGTAGTGATACTGCCTTGAAAACCCAAGGAGGGATCGCTGTGAGTCGGGTCTGACTCGACGGCAAATAACAACATTGTTAATTTAAGAAATATCCCATAAATACATATCTATAAATACATCTTACTTTCATAACTAGAAAAATATGTGATAATATTGCTACTTACTTTTATACAATTATCTAATGTATGAGATTACACACATGGTCAAAATACAAACCACAGAGAAGGTGTACAGAGAGTCTAAAGAAAGTAGTTAAGGATTCTTACCTGGAGGGCCTGGTGTACCTTGTATTCCTGGGAAACCTTTAAAGAAAACAAGAGAGTTAGACGAACTGACAATAGTTCACTCTTTTAGTTATACTTGGTATTTTTTTTGTTACAAATCTTCCCTAGTGTGCTTATAAGTACCCATACTTAAGAAGAACATAGAAAATGGAACTTGAAACCATCTCAGTATCTTTTGTAAAACTTCTGTGCTTCTGCAGCTACTAAGTCTGGAGGAGCAGGGCTCCTTGATACCTAATGTAACACTTGTTTCAAAATAAGAATGAGTGCAGGTCAAAAACAGGAAGAGAGGGAAGGGAAGGGGACAGGGAAGGAGAAGAGTAAAGAAAAGAGGAAGGGAAGGAAGAAGACAAGGTGCCAGGGAAGAAACTTACCTTTTGGGCCTGGCTCTCCTCTTAACCCTGGAGCTCCTGGGTAGCCCCTTTCTCCTTTTTCTCCCAGTGGTCCTGTGCCTATTACCTAAATGGAAAAATAAAAGAAAATTACCATATGGCCTGGGAGTGGCTGGAAGGTGTATAGCACTAGAAATGAAGAAATTTAGCCAATTTTTTTTCATTATTTCAAGAAGCGTGAAAGTGAAAAGGAAGAAGAGTTTTGAAAGCACAGCAAATGAATATTCTGTAACACCCTCTTTGCAGAGAAATCTGCCAAGTACTTTTGCTTTCTTTTATACTAATTTGCCTGGCAGCATTTTTCACAGCATTCCAGTGGGTTCAAGTTAAGGAGCTCTGTTTCAAGAGGCCATCCAGATGCAGCTAATGGTCTCCTAGCATCGGAAGTGAAGAAGAGTGCAAAAAAACAAGGGCATTTGGAAGCAATCAGCCATAGGACATGATGGCCCTCGAGACCAGAAGAACTAGATGGTGCCTGGCTACCAATGCCAACCACTCAGGAAAGGATCAAATCTGGAGATCCTAGATAGAGTGGGAGGGAAAACGTGGAACATAATCCAAAAACTCAATAATGACCAGAATTACTGGTTGGATGGTGTCTGATGAGACCCCCCCCCCATACTATGGCCCTGGAATACATTCTGCACCTGGAATAAAACTCATACCCAGGGGCTGGTCCTCAGCCATCAATAGTTAACAAGATGTACATGCAGATCCCTCAACCCAGGATGACGCACCCACATACTCTATGGAAATACATCCCTTAGAGCAATAGACCACAGGGCACCAGAGGGGCAACATTCACACTGAGGAAATGCAGGACACACAGGAGTGCATAACTATGAAGGGTACAGGGGGAAGGTTACTGGACAGGGAGGGGAGGAGACTGGGGTAGGGTTGGGCATGGTAAATGGGGAATGAAACTAAATGTACACATAATGTTGAATGTAAAACAAACTCTTAAAAAAAAAAAACAAGTTAAGGAGCTCTGGTGGCACAGTGCCTAAGGCATCTGACTGCTAACCAGAAGGTTGGTGGTTCATACCCACCAGCCAATCTGTGGAAGAAAGACTGGGAAATCTACTTCCATACAGATATACTGCCTCAGAAACCCAATCAGAGTTGCTATCAGTTGAAAGTGACTCGATAGCAGTGTTTTTTTTTTTTTTTAATTTGGGTTCAAGTTACAATAATATTAATTTTGGACTTTGTTAGATTTGGAGTTAACTGTACATATGTCATAGGATGAATATTCTACTTTAAAGGATATTTTTCAAAGGAAACCCCTTAAATTTCCTCAGGCAATAAATAACAGGAATATTCAAGATTTTTTTACTGGAAGGGGCATTTTGCTTTTTTCAAAAAAAAGGAAAATGGCTAAAGTTGAGCTTTTTAAAGTCAAAGTGCTAGATACCATTGTTGACTTCATTGACAAGTAATAAAGTGTTGTTGTTGTTGTTATGTGCCGTCGAGTCGGCCCTGACTCATAGCGACCCCTCCTTGGGTTTCCGAGGCAGTATCACTATGGAAGTAGGATTGCCCAACCTTCCTTCCGAGGAGTGGCTGGTGGGTTTGAACCGCCAGCCGTCTCGTTAGCAGTCAAGTGCTTTAGCCACTATGCTACCAGAATAATAAAGTAATAAAGTAGTACACCCAACTTCTGAATTACTGAATTTAAGGAAAACTACAAAGTCAATTATCACATATTGCCTAACTAGATTTTAAAATATGATTCCTATGTGTCAATTAAATTAGCAAACATTATTAAAATAGTAGCAATCTGTGCTGATGAGGTTAAAGTGAAAACAGTATATTCAAATGCTGTTGGTGGTATCACAAAGGTAAAATAGGAAATCACAGTGATACATGGAAGTGTTTAAAGCACTAAGAAGATTCAATAATTTGATCTAATAACCCGGTTCCTGTATATGTAACTTAAGGAAAAATTATTTAAACTTCCTACACACATACACATAGAAAAAAACAAACAAAAATAAACCAACTTATACAAAGGTATTAACCACAACACATTATCTGTATAAGGGAAAGAATATCAGTAAACAAAACAATGGTAGTATTTTCATTGTTTCAAAAAGGATTTGAGGCAAAAAAGCCACAATAATTAAAGCACGTCACTCTGACAAACCAAAAAAACCAAACTCACTGCTGTCGAGTTGGATCTGACTCATAGTGAACCCTCGATGGGTTTCCAAGGTGGCATCACTACGGAAGTAGATTGCCCCATCTTCCTTCCAAGGAGTGGCTGGTGGATTTGAACCGCCAGGCTTCTGGTTACCAGTCAAATGCCTTAGGCACTATGCTACCTATTGATTACTAAGAACATAATTTACAAAAAATGGAACGTTTCATTCTTAAAAAGAAAAAATGTTACATAATTGATTGAATATATGCAATAAAATATTATTTGCAAGAATAAAAATTGATTTGCTAGGATAGTCAAATCATGGATGGTTTGTTTCTCTTAGAAAAATTGTCTTTAATGGACCATTAAGAAAAAAAGTTTAAAAATGTGTTGCTAATATTCTTATCCATATAGAAATCTTTTTATTTTCAGTGACTTAAGGATATTTAAAAAAGATTAAAAATTAATAACAAGTAAATATTAAACTGCATGCAATACAAAATGTAAACTGATTATTCAAATCATACGTTTCGCCTTTTACATAAAAATGCAATTCTAGGAAACGTTGCAGAGAACCTGTCATAAGTAACAAATGTGCATCTCCTTTCTTTCCTTCATTTCCAAAGCTCTCACAAACCAACAAGCATTACTCACTATTCCAGGTGGGCCTGGAGGACCTGCTTCACCTTTGTCTCCCTACAAAAGGAAAAACAATTTTACTTGTATATTTTTACTATGCAGACTGTCCTGCAGAAAGCAGGCTTAGGCTTTTTCTGGAAAAAGAGAAACTTGGCTAAAGTTATTTCCACTAAAATTATTTCCTCTCTTTAGTATTCTCAGGTGTGATTAGTTCAAAATGCTCTGTGCCTCTCATGACAAAAATGGATACACTACATTTTAATATATGCAAATGGTGATTTCTAAAAATCGTAAGCAGCAGGCTATTTAATCATTTCACAAAAAAAGCTCCAGTATTTGTTCTGTTGACTGCGTGCTCCCTCAAACGACCTTAATAGAATCATTTTTATAGAAGTTGAAGTATATGGTGGTTTCTTAATGGAATAACAAAGAAATGAAATAAAGCTCTATGAAAACTTATGATTTCTAAATATATATTCCTATAGAAATAATTTTGAGATCTTAGGTATAAAATTGTCTAAAGATGCATTAGACACAAATAAATGTTAACTCTGACCACTTCTCAGTGGATAACAGAATAATAGATAAGCTTTATTTTCTTCATTATATCTTTCTGTATTTCCTGTTGTTTCACAATCAGTGGAAAATTAATCTACTATAAAAAAAGTCAAAAACATGAAAGAGGAGAAAATTTTACATTTTTTTCTTCAAAAAATTCACACACGAAGAAAACAATTAAGTTCCTTTCTTACTCGTATAGAGCTTAAAAATACTTTTTTCCTTAGCCCATATTCTTTATTCTAGGAACGCATGAGCAAACTTCCAAACTGAGCTGCAAAATGAAAGTAAAAACTCAACATAATGTCATCATATACCTTTAAACCCTCTCGGCCAGGAAGTCCAGAGTACCCTGGGTCACCAGGAAAACCCTAGAATGGAATAGAGCAAGAAGCTATGACGATCATATGCTAGAAAAGGTCACAGTTTTATTACTTTTAAAAGTGCAGAAAAATACTCACCGGACTCCCTTTTTCTCCTTTTTCACCATCCTTTCCAGGTTTTCCCTGTACAGTAAAGATTTAACCATTGGTATTCAATAAGTAATAATAATATAACACAAAGGTATATACAAGGCAATAAGTCACCTTTCTTAAGAAACCACAAACAAGGTAAAACAAGGACTCTATTAAGTTGACAATACTACAATAATAAAATGGAATATATTACACAATGAATAACTTCAAAAAAGTTACAACAATATAACAGGTCTTTTCAATTTTTTTCTTAAAAGAATCTGATTAGTTGCAAAATCTTCTAAGATATCTATAACATTGTGGTGGCACAGTTAACAGAGAAATGTTCCTATTGGTCAGTCTGAGTTTGGTAGCTAGCATGCAAATGATTCATTTTCATAAAGGTTTCCATATGTTATTTCAAGGTTCTTGTTAGCTGCCATCAAGTTGGCCCTCAACTCATGGTGATCCCATGCACAATGGGATTGAACTATTGTGATCCACAGCGCTCCACTGACAGATTTGCAGAAATAGATCACCAGGCCTTTCTTCCTAGTCTGTCTCAGTCTGGAAGCTCTGCTGAAAATTGTTCTGCATCACAGCAACAGGCAAACCTCCACCATCTGTGCTCAAGGTACATTGCCTGGAAATCAAACCCAGGTCCCCCGCATAAGGGCGAGAATTCTACCACTCAACTACCACTGCCCTCCTATTTCAGAGTCCCATTCTCACTACCATCAAGTCAATTCCAACCTCACAATGATCCTACAGCACAGGGAAGAACTTCCCCATAGGGTTTCCAAGGCAGTAAATCTTTACAGAAGCAGACTGCCTCATCTTTTTCAGGAAGAGCAGATGGTGGGTTTGAACTGCTGACCTTTTGGTTAGCAGCCCAATGACTTCACCACCGTGCTACCAGAGCTTCTTTATTTCAGGATCCAAAAATATCTCAGGCAACCGGAAGTTCGTAGAGGGTCCTGGGTACTTCTCGTGTCACCACTATTTATAAACTGAGAAGCTTTTTAGCGTCCTGTGCTTAGGGCTGTGGAAACAAGGTCTCATTTTCTGGGTAGGATCTCAGTGTTGGCAGGAAGAGCAGCAGCAAGAGCAACCCAACTGCTCATGATCTAGTGCAATGGGTATCTTTAAACAAAGATAAACAGCTGGTAGACAGCTCTGCAAAGAGCCTCCTTCCCACAAGCAGTTGCCTCATCTTTAGGGTGGGGCCATTTGAATAAAGACGACTAGCTCTTTCAAATGATGATACCAGTTGCCATTGCTACAGGTGTGTCAGAGTAGAACTGTATTCCATAGTGGTTTTGATGGCTTATTTTTGGAAAGTAGATTGCCAGGACTTTCTTCCAAGGTGCCTCTGGGTAGACCTGAACCACCAGCCTTTCAGTTAGCAGGCAAGGGAGTTAACCATTTGCACCACCCAAGGACTCCTTTCAAAGGATGGTACAAAACCAAATCAAACCTACTGCCATCAAGTTGATTGTAGGAACCCTTTTGGGCAGAGGAGAAGTTCCCCATAGGGTTTCCCAGGCTGTAAATCTTTATGGTAGCTGACTACCTCATTTTTCTCCCTTGGAGAAGCTGATGAGTTCAATCCAGTAACCTTTTGGTTAGCAGCCAAATGCTTTAACTACTACACCACCAGAGCACCTTTCAAAGGATGGTAGCAGAAATACAAAGACCTATCAAAGGATGGTAGCTCTTTGTATTTCTGCTAACAAAGGTTTAAGAAAAGCTTTACTGAAAGGGATAAACTAGAAACTTTTCCCAGGGGTGAAAGGTATAAACTAGCAGACCTGGAAGTCTTGCCAGTATTGTTTCCATGAATATGAAATTCTGAGAATGAAAGAAAAATTATTTTATAATAAAGACTAAAAGTACTTTTGAAAGCACTTACTCGGGGGCCAGGTTTTCCAGGTTCACCTTTCTCTCCAACCCCTGGCATTCCCTTAAAAGAACAAAAGAGAAAGAGTTAAGTACTTTAGCATGTTTAGATAAAATAGTAAATTAGGTAATTATCATATATGAGGTAAAACAAGCTAGCTTGTAAGTTAAATCTAATACTTCATGATCTTTCATAAAATAATAAGTAAAGATTTAGTACTTACCTGAAATCCAGGTTCACCTTTTTGACCCTGAAAGAATTAAAAGGGGAGGGGGGAGAACATCAGTACTATCTAACAGCTATATCAATTTTTTAATATGCTAGATTCCACATGAAAGTTTTTCTTTTCTGATACATTAACAAATTCACATTGTGTTTTACATTTCATTTCCTGCTCCTGACTGGGTTATGGGTTTAATACCCACCCACTGCCATGGAGTCAATTCCAACTTTAAGGCAGAGTTACAACTGCTCCATGGGTTTCACAGCCTGTAAGTCTTCAGAGAAGCAGACTGTCTCCTTTTTCTCCCGTGGAGCAGCTGGTGGGTTTGAACCACCAAACTTTTGGTTAGCAGCAAAATGCTTTAACCACTACACCACCGGAGCTCCTTATGTGTTGAAGAAGGACAGCATTAATTACACTTGATCCATGCGGACTGTAATCTCTCTTCTGTCCCTCCGCTTGGCTCGTTCCTGCTGACCCAGTCCCATCCCCAAATTTGAGTACATTTCAGAAGACCCTAGATGAGTGAATCTCAAATCATCTGCTCATATTTCATAGGACAAATAGTCTATCAATCTGTTTTCAGAGAAAGGATTGAACATAGTAGGGGAATTGGATTTGATGTGGTTTATCTGTCCTTTGGAAATTTTCCAAAATTAAAAAGCCAGTACTCATTGGACAAACTCCTTCCGTACCTTTTCTCCTTTAGTAGCAAAGTCTCCTTTTTCTTTAACTTGAGCTTGTCCTGGTACTCCTGGAGGCCCACTGACCCCTTGATCACCCTGTTGATGCAAACATTGGAATATAATTAGGCATAGAAATAGTTACACAGAGAAGAAAAATGCAGAAGAGGAAAAAGTCTAAAATAAAACTTCTTTTTTAAAAAATGTAACTGTACTCTATTCGATTCTAATCTACCCTTGCCTCAGCAGAAAATTAAATTTCAGTAGGAAGATGGTATACAAATAAAAATCTCTCAGGAATTAGGGCAAGGCTGGCAGCCACTACCCAGATTTGAGAAGAATGGAACCTAAATACCTTTAGGACACATATGTGTAGGCATATTCATACGCACTGTGCTATTATATTCTGAAGGCATAGAGGAAAGGGACAACAATTGCCTAATAGAACTTGGGAAGAAAAGAGGTATTTTTAGGTAAATGAAGAACAAAAAGACTATCAAGGGTTTTCTTCTTCAGGCTGGTTATAAGTAAAGTGAAATCCACCTATAGCACAAAGAATGAGATCCAAAATTACCAGCTGGAAAACACTGCATATTTACTTAGTGTGAAGTTTATGGAAGGGAGCTCTAGTGGCGTAGTGCCACTCCTCAGAAGGAAGGTTGGCCACTCTATTTCCGTAGAGATACCGCCACGGAAACCCAAGGAGGGGTCACTAGGAGTCGGATCCAAATCCAGGGCAGTGCATTGCATTGTTTTTATGGAAAGACTGGGCCAAACATTTGAGGGTGAAAGGCAGTGTCCAACTGTGCAATTAGAAACTGTTCAGATTGAGATGCATTTGGTGGCACCTGGTGGTGATCATCTGTGCTATCTTAAATATCGATGGAGATGAATCTGGGTCCTGTGGCTGGTTTGGCTGTAGTAATTCTAAGAACTACCCATGTAATCAGTGCCCATTTCACTGCTCTGATGCAGAAAAATTGGTAGGGAGAACATCAGAGGAATAGAGACACATGCTTTGCCTTTTTTCTTTCTAAGATGAGGCTGCCTGCAATAGTCAGTACTGTGTAAGAGCCTCAAAATCTAGGTGCTTGCATGAAAGAAGCTTTTGCCTAAGGTTCAGGCAGAATTCCACTTTGTTTTTAAAAAATTCCACTTTAGGTTGTTTTACTCCTGCTTGTCTTTAACTTTGAGAGAAGCGGCTAATAGCTATTGTTTTCAGAGGGGCTTGAGAAATGGTATAATTTAAACTAGATAAAAGGAAGGAATTTTTTTCTTGGCGGGCCAAACAGTGAAGATTGGAATGATTATTTATGGAATTCTTCAGAAAAAAGGGTCTTGCAAATGTTTGCAAAAATTAAGGGACTCATTAGAAAACAACAGGAGGGTTCAAGAGGATGATTAGTCAATTATGGCAGTATGAAGGCACGCTAAACTGAGGTGCTTAGCATGATTAAAGATTACTGCCCCAGGTCTAAGTCAAAACTTCACTGTTGAATGAAACTTGTCCAAAGTCCTCCTTTCAGCCTTCCTAAGGATAAAGCTGTAACTTCTTGTGAACTTTGACTACCCTCGGTAAACAATAGAGAGGACAAGAATATGAGATTGTGAAGAAATGTTTATCAGTAAATGTTTGTCACGATGGTCTCACAAGAATGCTTGCACGGGGCTCAGGAAGAATGTATGCATAGCTTACTAAGAGCGCTCCAAGAAATCTATGTTAGAAAATAAATCAGCTAACCTTGTAAATTTCAACTTGCTATTGTCCTGTAACCATAAATAATCCCTAGCCCCCATAGCTGCAGTTACATACTCCCTTCCCTACTTTTCAGTATAAAGGTTAACCTGGCCCTCAGAATGTCAGAGCACTTTGGTAATCCTCACTAGGTGTTGCCTGACCCAGATTGCTCTATTATTTTCTTCAATAAAACTCTGCTTTAATTATAACAGAGACTCCAGTTTGCTCTTTGACAGTGCCCTCTATTCCATTGTGGTTTATTTCTTTCCATGTCCATAAAGACTTTAACTTATCTTTGTTTAAGAAGACAGGCTAGTTGGAGGATAGGAGCCAACAAACAATTATATTGTATCCTAGTTTCATTATGATGACCTTTAATATAGCTATGTTATTAATATTCAAGTCCTAACTTTGACTCTTATATAATAAATTCTAGGCCTGGCTTTATCACTTCCTAAGAACATTTTGATTGAGCTCTATGTACAAACAACTGTAATTAATACCCTCATTGAATTTTATGTTGGTAAGACCATACCTATTGTTATTATTGTTAGTTGCTGTTGAGTTGGACCTCTTCCATGGCTACCCAAGCATACCAACACACCATGCACAATGAGTGAACCATTTTGATCCATTGGGATTTCACTGGCTGATTTTCAGCAGTAGATTGCCAGGCTTTTCTTCCTACTCTATCTTAGTCTGGAAGCTCTTCTAAAACCTGATCAGTATCATAACAACATGCAAGCCCCCACTGACAGATGGTCGGTGGCTATGTATAAAGTGCATTGGCCAAGAAACAAAGCTAGGTCTCTACATAGGAGGAGGTCATTCTACCACTGGATCACTAATGGCTCAAGGTCAAACCTAGAGTACTTCAATAAATTCTAGCTGTACATTAAAAAATAAAATAAACAAACTAAGGAATGTACAAAGAAGAGTAACTATGATTCCAAAGGCCCAAAAATATATGCAGATGTAGAAATTCTATCATGTTTATAACTCTGATTTTAAACATGAAAACACTCCAAAACATGATTTTAAACAAGAAAACACTCCAAAGCAATGTGAGCTCACCTTGTCACCTTTTGGTCCTTGAAAACTTAAGCCCATTTGCCCCTGTTGATTAAAAATCAGACTTTCATTATTTCTTTATTAGAGTTGTCTACTCTGTTCAAAATCATCTCACAAGTCCCACATAAAATGCAAGAAAGATGGCAGATTTCAGCCAATGACTTCATCCCACAACCACCTTAAGTTTTGAAGACATTTGTGACCATATACTTAATGCATATAAGAAAGATTTTAAGAGTATTATTAATAAAGGACTCTATCTAAAACAACCTTTGAAAAATGTAATGTTTTTAAACTGTGACTTTAGAAAACAAAGAGAAATAAGAGAGATTCCAAAGCAATTGAAGAGAAGATGGATGGATGGATAGGTTGTATCAATGGACAGATTGATGAATAGATATATAAGATAAAGAAATAGATGGATAAATAGACAGATATGTAAATATATATGTATATAAAAGAATTATAAATTTCCAAATTTTTTGACAGAAAGTTAAAGAATAAAATATGCCAATTTATTAAGTTAGTCTTACACAAATTACAAGTATGACTATTTGTATTAGTGACAAATAAAGATAACTAAAAAGAAATCTTTACCTTTTCACCTGGAGGTCCAGGAGGGCCTGGGGGGCCCTAGATGAGAGAACATTTTAATTAAATATGATTCACAACCCCCATGAGCTTAATGCTTTTTAAGATTCTATTCTGAAGATATCTTAAGATTCTACTCTGATTGAACAGTCTCCTCAGAAGTTAATTTCTGGGTGCTCAAATTTGCAAAATGTGAAGTAAGTGGGCTTCTTTGCTACTGCCTGGCTTGTGCCTATAACTCTAAATAGAACCAGATCTCGCTGGTTGAATCCTGTTTCTACAAGTCTTTCTCCTCAGACAGTCTCCAAGGGCAGAGATGGCTTTATCTAACTATCATTTGACTTCTTTAGGTACTGGGTATCACTAGTATTTGGTCTATTCCTCAAATATTACTTTGTTATTTTTGGGGGGACGTCTTGGCATACAGTGCCATCCTATAGCACTATTATTATCTTTTGACATACAGTTCTGGGACTATATGGACCGTAGGTGCCAGCCAAATATATTCATAAGAAAGAAGCTCATTTTCCCATATCCAAATTGAGAAAGCCCCATGTGTAAACTTTTCATAAATTATTATTTATTTTCATGACTCAACACAGGTTATTCTTTGAATGACTTAACAAAGAAATATATTCCAAAACTTACTGGGGGTCCGGTAAATCCTGGAGGGCCAACAGGACCTTGTAACCCTGGAAATCCTGGTGGACCCTAAAATTTATTAAGACAGGAAAGAATTAAAATGCAGAGTAGAAGGTGATTCAGCATATTCTTATTATCCAGGAAATGCTTACTGGTACTCCTGGAGATCCAGGAAATCCTCTTTCACCTTTCAACAGTGTACCAGGCACATGGCCAAGTATTTCACCTGGATCCCCCTACAGAATGAAAAATAAGACAAAGTTACAAATGTTTATATTCATATAAAGAAACTTAAAACTCAGTGAATAATAGGCAAACATTATTATAAAGGACTTACCCAAAATTCAGGATATACAGACTGGGGCTATCTACCCTACTCATGATTGTTGCCTTCATAACCAATGGGAATTGTTGAATATTCAATTTGGCTGCAACTACAGGAAATAGTGCTATAATAGATGGGACGGAGCTAAGCACATGAGTGGATTTACTTCTTCAATTGAACAAACACATAAGAAAATTCTACTAGCTACCGTGCTAAGCGGAATGGGACACAGGGGAGAAAAATTTTGGATACAAAAATGTCAGGACTATATGATTAACTGGATATGAAAAGGGAGGTAGAAAAACAATCTCAAGTAGGAAGGAAGGAAGGAAGGAAGGGAGAGAGAGGGGAGGAAAGGAGAGACAGGAAGGAAGGAAAAGAAAAGCGAGACGGGAAGGAAAAGAGGAAAGAAGAGGAGAATCATTCATGGGCAATTTCCCCACAGAAAAAAAATCAAAACAACGAAAAAGAATGACTCCTGGGTTTCTGGCTTGAATGCCTAGGTAGACATTGCTGCCCTAACTAGCTAAAGTACACAAGAGTAGGAGCAGTTTTAGAAGAGAAGGTAGCAGGTCCCCTTTTGGATATGTTGAATTTATGGTGCCTGTAGAACATCAGGAATAGATGTTGATAAGCAAGGCTTACTGGCCAAAGAGAGAAGGGAGAGAAGGTAGGCAGTGTGCCTGGGGACAGGAACCCAAATCAGAACATCTTGCTCTCTCGATGGACATGGCTTGGGATGACAAAGCAAGTGTGGAGTGATCAGTTCCACAGTTTTAGCAAACTGTATCTGCTATTTCCTAGGTACCCTATGAAGACACAAAATCTCTTTTAATGATCTCAAAAAAAAAAAAAAAAAAAAAAAAACACTGCCATTGGGTCAATTCCAACTTATTATTATCTTGTAGGACAGAGTATTATCTTGTATTATCTTGTAGGACAGAGTAGAACAGCCCCACCGAGTTTCTAAGAATGTAAACCTTTATGGAAGCACTGCTACATCTTTCTCCCACAGAGCAGCTGGTGGGTACAAACTGCTGACCATCAGTTAGCAACTCAGTGCTTGACCATTTACTGTACTATCAGGGCTCCTTCCTTTACTGACAGCAAGAAACAAATCACTGTCTGGTGTAGTGATAGTGTGGGATTCAGGACTTATTTTCCTCATGATGTCACAGAGGGTCTTGGGTCCCACCTCTGATACAAAGGGCGAGAACCAAGGTGAGAAAACCCAGTGAACGAAAGGTACCATGACATCAAGTTTCTAACCTAGAGCAATTTCTTCCTGCATTAATTTCTGAACTTGTATCACAATGACTTGAGTTTATAGGCAACATAAAAAGGTAGTTGTGTTTAAATGAAATTATTCAGAACAAATATAATAAAAACTTGAATTCCTTTTGGGTGACACTGTGCTTGTGTAAAATGGCTCTGGAAAAAGAGTGTCAGTGAGATTGTCTAAGCAAGTAATTAATCTTGACTGGAATCACATCTGTTAATATTTGCCATCATCATATTCCCCCTATTACTATTTATTTCCTGTTAAGAAATATCCTCGTGTCTAAACTTTAGAATCTAAAGTTTAAATTTGCTGTTGAGTTGGATCCGACTCATAGCGACCCCTCCTTGGGTTTCTGAGGTGGTATCACTACGGAAGTAGGATTGCCCAACCTTCCTTCCCAAGAGTGGCTGGTGGGTTTGAAACACCAGCCTTCTGGTTAGCAGTCAAATGCCTTAGGCAGTAGGCTGCCAGAGCTCCCTTGTGTATATTACTTGCATGCTATTTTAATGTAAGTAGCAGAGTTTAGAAAAAATGTTAATCAGTTAAAGGGATTTAAAGTAAATTTATTTACATGGTATCTGTTTTACGCAGCCAAACCAAACCCATTGCCACTGAGCCAAATCTAACTCATAATGACCCTGTAGGACAGAGTAGAACTGCCCCATAGGGTTTCCCAGGCTGTAAATCTTTCCAGAAGCAGACTGCCACATCATTCTCCCATGGAGTGGCTGGTAGGTTTGAACTGCCAACCTTTTGGTTAGTAGATGAGTGCTTAACACTATACCAACAGGGCTCCTGTTTTAGGCAGAGTCCCTATAATTAATAAAATAAAATAAAATGTACCTTCATTCCTGGCAACCCTGGAGGTCCCTAGAGAAGAAAAGGTTGATATTAGTTTGTTTGTTTTTTCCTTTCTCAAAACATCAAATTAGCACTATTTGTGCACAAACAAAAACGTGGGAACAGAATGGGAAGAGAGAAATTATTATTGAAGAAAGAAATTCTGACTTAAACAATGCTATACTCACGGGATTTCCAATGTATCCAGGGGAACCAGGAGGCCCAAGAGGCCCTCTTTCACCCTAAAGGAAGAATAGACAGTCATTCATTTAAACTAAAGAAGGCAAACATGACAGCGTCATTCCAATCACCCTCATAAGTCACACTTTCCTACCCTCCAGGGATATTTTCATTTTTTGGCTAAAAACCATTTCCTAAAGAGTTTATTACAAGATTTATTCCTGGGTGCTATGTCACTAAAGAAGAAATATAATTAATAACATAATTAATAGGGACAAGGATTAATAATAAGGTTTTCTTATTTGATGTAGTAGTTGATCATGGATAAGAAATCTGGTGTTTAAAAGTAATTTACTTTTAGGATATAAATCTATATAAAAAGCCAGGATTATATCATATTTGAACACTAACTTTGAGAAAAGTCTACTTCCTCATCAACTACAGAAAGCTTTATAAAAGTAATTTCCTAATTGTGACAAATAAAACTGTACTGATAGAATAATTTTACCTCACTTCTTAATATGCAAAGTTATGTAAACATGCACAAATGGGGAAAAGTCTTGGTTTTGAATTTACCTTTGTACCATTGCATCCTGGGATACCTGGAGGACCTGGTGGCCCATCTTGGCCAGGAATACCCTGTCATGAAGAAAGTGAAAGTCACCAAAGTAGAAAATCATCTGATAGTGATCACTGCTCACATACAATGTTTCAGAGAGGAAGCAGAGTGCATTCTGTATACATACAGGAAGTCCTGGGTTTCCAGGGTAACCAGCTGCTCCTGGGGGTCCCTGTTAGGAGTAGAAATGAAAGAGTTAAAGATCAAGCTCTTAGGAACTTCATCTCCTTCCATTGCATCCACTTGGCTTGGAACCAAACTCTAATTTTGGGCATTCAGAATATCTGCATGGGGCAATAGAGCATTTTGTCGGGGGAGGCAGGTGAGGACCCAGCCTAGTGGGCAGATCTCCCAAGGCTGTCAGCAGCAAATCTACACCAGAAGCTGACTGCTAAAGTCTTCTAACATCAAGGCTGCACACACAAAAAATAATTCTGCCTTCATTTCATCTTTGATAATTTCTAGGTTTTAAAAAAAAACTACTAGTAATTCACATTAAAATCTCAAACAATTGGGAAGAAGAGTTTATGAGATAATATCAATTCATTGGGGGAAATATAAAAAAGTTATTTCTAGTTGAATAGTAGCAGTTTAGCAGAAAATAAAATCATTTTATTCAAAATACAGAGGTAAGAGGGACTTGACTGCTTTGTCTCCTCCATCCCAAATGGGAGACAATTCTCCCTATTCACGATAGTCAGGTTTTATAACTCCTCTCAAATACTGACTTAGCGAAGCCAGAAGTAGTGTTGTTCAACCTCAGCTGGGAAAATTTCACTCTCTGTGCATGTTCACGTCTATGAATGACCTTTAAAACACCAGGGCACTTTTTAGCAAATGGGTGAAGTCACGAATAAAGAATCTGCAAATGTAAGGATCAACTGTAATCACAATGTTATGGACTCTCTCTTCTGCCCCAAGAACCTACAGGAGTGCCAAGAAGTAGCACACTGAATATTGTTTGTTGCACTTCCCCTTTAACTATATAGCAATGACAGGATTTAAATGTTTACATTTTATATATTTTGTAATAAAAACCAATTTTCTTTCTACTTTCAAATTTGCTTTTAGGCTCTGCGACTTTGCATTTCCCAGGAATGAGAGTAGCAAAGAAAGGAAAAAGTATGAAGAAGAAAGGCCAATTTTAGCTTTGAAAATATCACTGTTTTTCACAGTAAATGAAATCATCTGTCTTTCATAACTTGTAGACATAGAACTAACACCCTTTTCCCCCTCAACCCAAGTTAAAGTATGCCTCTAAGAGATCCCTGAGGAAGAACAAATGGCAAGAAATACACAGGTGCTGTTAGTAAGGGCCTCTACTTATGCACAGCCCTTCATAAGGATTTGTGGGAAAGAAACAATGTAGCTACTGCACATTTTAACGTCTCATTCCCACTTCACCTCCACATTATTGGAGCTCTGATGAGGAGGGAAGAGGGTAAAGGGACATGGCGAAAGGTGAGGGAAAGGAGAAAGACCTTTTAGAAAAGAGTGAGCCCACTCAGGATTGTTTAGAGGAGGGAGAAAGGGTGTTTAAATCTCTCTGCCCTTTAAGCATTGCTGTCATTAGATCCCATCCACAATGAGTTTCAATTTTAAATATCAATTGTACTCACTCTTGTCCCTTTTGTTCCTGGCAGTCCAGGTTCTCCAGCGTCACCCTGGAATAAAACAGAAATGCCATTATAATTTCATGATGATGTCATAACAAGAATATTAAACAAAACAAAACAAAAAGACCCAGTGTCATCGAGTCGATTCTGACTCATAGTGACCCACATTGGGTTTCCAAGGAGGTAAATCTTTACGGATGTAGATTGCCCAGTCTTGCTTCCATGGAGCAGCTGGTGGGTTTGACCCACCAACCTTCTGGTTAGCAATGAGACACATTTAGGCACTGTGCTACCAGAGCTCCAAAAAGAATATAGATAATGTTAAATCCACACACACACACATACACATACCCCAATTATAGAGTTAGTCTTACCTTTTGTCCTGGTGGTCCTTGCGGCCCTTCAGGTCCTTGCATTCCGGGAAACCCAATGACACCTTGTAAGCCTGGGAAGCCTCTTTCCCCCTGGAGAGAAAGAAGCCAGAGTCAGTCTAAGGCAGAATGCAGGTTGACAAAAATAGAGGAAACAGATCAGGAAATCCACCTTTCTAAGTATCACTTAACACTGTACAAGTCTAGACAGTATCTGGAAGTACATGCTATAAACAGTTTCCTATTGCAGCCAGCCCTTCTGCACCGTGAGCTCTTTGAGGGCTGGAAATACTCATCCAGGACATCCCCACAATGGTTCATATGCACTGTACACGAAATCATTGGTTAGGTAAGTCACATAATGAGTTTCGGGGGTTTTGTCCCACTGCATTGACTGTAATTTCATTGAGTTACTGACATCCTCTTGTCATCAAATAGCCACAGTGCTGAGACTTTGTGAACAGACCATGAGTCACCTTTGCCTTTAGTTATCTTTGGGAGGTATGGGTAGGCACAGAGTTCACAGTGTGAGTTTCAGCACAAGATGCTAAGACTTTCCTGTGCAGTGAACAGTGTCAAGATAATTTTTGATAATAAGTGTCTTTTTAAAAGTGTTTTTTGCAAAGGTAGAATCAAAGTACAAATATGGTCTCTGCCCTTGTGGAGCAAAAAGAAATAAACATTATTTTTAAAATAGTGATTATTAGGGGTTCAAATGTGTGGCAGACATAACAAGGATTGTATCATTCAACCTGGAAAGAGAATGGTCAGAACAACCATGGAATTCTGAGCCTTAAGCTTTAAGCTGGCTCTTCATGGATGAATGCAAAGGAAGAGGAGGAGGAATGCAGAGTGTATGGAAGGATGACAGCAGTGAGCGGTGAGGAGGATGGAGATTCATGGCAGATGAGCACAACACACTAATGGGAGGAAATACAACTGGGACAAGAACAGGGCAGAATGAGGCACCAATGGTTCATCCTGGAACTATTATTTTATTCTATCATCATCTTGGAGCCAGTGACTTAATGAAGTAATATTTTACGAACTCTTTCATATTTAGATTGCGAATATAAAATCACGTGTGATAAAAAATCAAGAAAGCCTATTTTCTCAAAGTATGTGGACTTAAATGCAATTTTACAATACCAATTGGGTAGATTACATAAGCACTGTTAGCTCATTTAAAATCAAAAGACACTTTGGAGATTACATGCAGGATTACCTACTGCTCAATAAGTTGTACTAATAAGTTATATTAGTTCCAAGTAAAATTATGCTGACAAGCTATTTGCAAACTCATTGCCATCGAGTCGAATCTAACTCATAGTGATCCCTCCTGGGGTTTCTGAGGCATATCTCTATGGAAGTAGATTGCCCAATCTTCCTTCCAAGGAGTAGCTGGTGAATTTGAACCGCCAGCCTTCTGGTTAGCAGTTAAATGCTTTAGGCACTACGCCACCAGAGCTATATATCACATAAAAATTTACAAAAAAAATTGCACACAACCAAGAATTAATTTAAATGTTTTTCATCTACGCATAATGGAAATGATACAGAGCAAGAACTTTAAAAGTCATCTTTCTTTCCAAACCCTTCCAGGCAGTTCCGGCAACTGCTGATGAATTAACTGTGTTTTTATGAATGCAGAAATGTGGTTCTGAATTTGTAACTGTAACCACTGTGCCACACAGAGTGTTACACTTAATTGGAGATGTAAGTCAGGAGTCTAGAAACAGCATTTAAATAAATGTGGAAGAGATTATTTCAAACTCTAGAGGATAAAATAAAATAGCAAATGGATTAAAGAAAATTAAACCCTACAGTTTGGCATGCTCTTTTAAAGTAGGCGCCTCCAGGGAATCTACCAGAAAGAACAGATGCTAAGACAGTGAGAACCCTCTGCACAAGATTTGACATGGAATGCTGGCTTTTTTCCTTGAGGTCTAGCAATAGCTGGGAAATAAAAACATTCTCAGAACAAGACTTGTTAAAATGAAGAGCTCCTTAAATATATTCATTCTTAATCTAAAATAATGCCTACAGGATACAAAAGCAGGATAAAAAACTGATGATAAAGAGATATATTGCACACAGTTATCCTTTGACGCTCCCGTCATATCTTTTACTCAGATATAGGAAAATTCTACCTAGATATAATAGAACTGAACTGTAAACAGCTGGATAAAAAAATAAATAAATAAACTTTGAATTCTGTATCCCTAAGTAACCTAACATGAGATAGGAAGCCTATGTGAAAAAGACATCAATGTAAAAGCTTTCTGATACATCTGGTGGAGTGTTCTCAGTACTTAATACTAGTAGTTATCATTATAAGGCTAGTAAAGAAAAGATCTTAAAGCTTTCATTTTAATCATGGAATGCATGGAAGCCCACAGTCAGATTAGCCGATTGATATGTTTCTCATGGAGTCAGCAACAAAGCCAAAAATAGAAATAAGGTCAGCTTACAACTTAGGCCATGTTTTTTTCAGGTCACTAGAGCAAACCGGTTCCCAGCACAATATTAAAGCAGTTAACCAACATTAACTTAGCCTGAGTTATCGGCCCTTTTATATCCATTTCACAGATAGGAAAATTAAGATGCTAATGTTTTACTGACTTGTCACATGTCACTGGGTGACCCCTCGCACACTCCTTGGGAACAAAGTACAGAAGTCTGAATTCCCAGTACTTATTTTAACCTCAAGAACACATTCTTTCCCAAAAGTCACTGGAATGCTTAAGCAATCCATATATCCCAAGAGTTTTGAAATTAAGTAGCTAAAAAGGAAGTGACTCCTCACTTGACACGGTTCTTGCCACCCTCACATTTTTTTTAACTTTCTTAATCTTTTGTTCAGAGAAAAGTACACATGAATAATCCAATATCCAGTATTCTGTCCAAGTTTATTATGGGAACCAGAGCAGAGAAAACAGGATGAGCATTCAAACAGCTATACAATTAGCTGGCAGACAACATACTCTGTAATGCTGTCCAAATAATTCCTTGCTGAACTTTAAGCAAATCTCATGTGGTGTTGTAGGAAGAGCAAAGAGCTGGACATGTTATGCAAAGGTTATTCTTGCCAGTCATTTCCAATCCAAATTCTGCAGCTCCAGCACTGCAGTTGTGGCTACCCTTTTGCTGGAGTGCAAGGTGGAACGTGCATGGTTAAAGTAACTGAGAAATAGAACTCCTTAGTCATCTTCTTTCCCATGATGTCTTAAATGCAACGTCCAAAAGGACATGGTGGTCCACACAATTAATGCCAAGAAGAAATGAAAATCACAACTACTGTTTTCCGGAAACCAAAAATCTAAACCCATTGCCGTCAATTCAGCCCCTGACTTGTGGTGATCCCATGTGTTACAGAGTAGAACTACTCCACAGGGGTTTATTGGCTGGCTGTAATCTTAACTGAAGCAGATCACCACACATTCCTGCCTTGGCACCAGAATGGGCTTGACTCTCCAACCATTTGGTTAGTAAAAAAAAAAAAACCCACTGCCATCAAGTTGACTCCAACTCATAGCAACCCTGCAGGACAGAATAGAACTGCCCCACAGGGTTTCCAAGATTATATATCTTTACAGAAGCAGACTGTCTCATCTTTCTCCAACATAGGAGCTGGGGGATTTGAACTGCCAACTTTTTGGTTAGCAGCCTAATGCTTTAACCACAGCACCAACAGAGCTAATCACTTGCGCCACCTAGGGACCTACTGTTTTCCATAGCAATGGAAAACTTTAAATAGGGGAAAGGAAAAAAGAAACTTGTGAACTACTACACAAAAAGTTTTATTGCAGTTGTCTTTCATAAATCCATTCTTGAACATGTGTGATTTATCGCTCTAATCAAAAAAGAGAAAAGAAAAAAGAAAATTTTTATACCACACAATGGAAGTGATTATCTTAACCACATCCTCAAATGATGAAATTCAGAATTTGAGGGAAAAAAAACAAAATGCCATTGTCTATAAAAATGAAAGAATAGATCCATAGAGAATAATCTTGGCCTTGAAATGAGCCATTCTAAATTAGACATGAAACAGGGTTTCCTTTATGAAGCAACTTAACATTTTTGCTTAATATATAACCTAAAGCAAAGAGACACTTAAAAAAAATGTCTAAAATGTAGGAAGAAAAGGTTCTTTTATAGTACTCAATTATCGCCCTTCCTCTTAAAATGCGTGTAGAAATATGTTGGTGCTTCTGAAAATAAAATGCTAGAATATAGCTCCCATCATCTCCAAATCAGTCTTAATTCAAATACAGATAGAGTCCCCAAGATGGCTAAAGTTGAATTGTTGTGAAAGCGTCTAAATTTGGGGGCTAATATCATTACCAACATCAAAAAATGATTTTAACACAAAATATATCTAGAACAAGCAGCCACAAACATTTTACTCTCAGAGGCCGTGTTTTGCCTGTTTCAATGGCCAGCATGTGAACATTACCTTTGGATCTATTTATTTATTTAAATTAAACACTCTGATCATGGATCTTCAAAATAAACTAAATACAAGCAAATTTGTTTCCAGAGAACTGACTCCCCCCTCACACACACTCAAAAAAAAAAACAAAAAAACCCTCACTGCCGTCGAGTCGGATCCAACTCATAGCAAGCCCTCCTTGGGTTTCCAAGATTGCTCAATCTTCCTTCCAAGGAGTGGCCAGTGGGTTTGAACCGCCAGCCTTCTGGTTAGTAGTTAAATACCTTACGCACTATGCTACCAGAGCTCCTCCCCTCTCACACAGGACTGATATAAGCTAAGGAGCCATGTACATGTGCTTGTGTTCACTTAATAACAAAGCAGAGTAAACCTAACAAATGACGCTAATCAGAAAGACAATGTAGTTTAGTCTATTCTTCTAGACTGAAAGCACCTCAAAGTCAGAGATATTATTTTATTCACTCAAAGTGTTTGGCACAAACTATGAATTCAATAAAGGTTGCTGAGTGAATGGTAAACTTATCAGTAACATAACATGACATATAAGCATGGGGTAGAATTCCACCTACGTATCCTGAAATTTCGAAAACATAGTAAAAGAAAGTTATAGAGCATGATGGGTTGTCTTTATCAATCA